TTTTGTATTTGTTGCAGAGTAAAGAGTGTAATGGGGAATTCGGACGGTCGTAGAAACTTTCCTCGATTAAGCACAGGTGCGGTTTTGGTTCTGTTTCAACCCTTATTATCATTTTGTTTCTGTCTTCAGCTTAGTGGTTTGTTGATTTTTGGTCAGGCATTGGTCATCCACCAGGAAACATGGCTTTCCTTCTCAGAAGTTTAGTACATCGGAATGGAAACACATTGATGAAGCACTCGAGCAAGGGAGAGAAGCAGTGAAGATTCTTGTGCTCAGTGGATTGTTCAGTGAAGGAATATCAAGATTTAATTTTGTCCAGAAGTATAAATTCCACAGTTTTGAACCAAAAATTACAGACAAGGGATTGGCTTTTAGCATTTTCATTTTGTTGTTAAATATATATAATTATTGATTGATCACAATACCAACAAGTTATATTATATATTGCTTTGACTATCCCATAAAGGAGAAAGATTATGATCTTTTAGATCGAGTTATACATCCGACACAAAGAGAGTTTCTTTCAGAAGAGAGTTTCTTTCATCCTAAATAACACAAAGCAGAAGCCAAAACTCCCTTCAAACTTCGACAGGATACTCAAAACTGACATCCTTGCCAGTAAGTTTACCGTACACACCAATCATAGTCTCGAGCTTGTACTCCGTGTTGCTCCTTTCCTTGGTATCCAAGTAGACCTGTCACTTTCAAAACCAGAGTCAAATAGATTAACAAGAGACATTTGCAGATATGATCATTAGGCATTTACAAACGAGAGCAAGTGTTCATACCTTTCCACTAAACTTCTTCTCAAGCTCTCTAACGAGACGAGGATGAATCTTGCGGAAAGCTTTCCTCAATCTGAATGGGACGTAAATCACAACAGCCTTGCGGTTTCCAGAGATAGATGTCCCTGTTACTGCAATATAGAAAATCAAATTAAATTCTCCTTCCATGCCAAAGGGGGGAAGAAACAAAAATTTAGGAACATATACAGCTTGGTTGGTTGATGTAGAGATCTTTCAGCTTGCTTTTCAACTCCTGGTTTGTGTTCTCCATATCAAACAAAGCCTGTGAGAGAAGAAGCCAAAAAAAATAAAAAAAAAATATCAGTTTATAAAATGAATTCACATGACAAATCATTTTGAAGAAAACACACACATAAAATTAGTTATTAATTACTATTAATTACCTGAGCAACAAGCTCATCGCGCTCTGTTGTAGCAGCACATTCTTGTCTTTCTTGATCTTGTTCTGAGCGGAGAACATCTTCGCAGAAAAAAGTCAAATGCTTCAGGCAAGTTTGAATGTTTCCTTTTTCTGTTGATGATGAACTGAAACTATAATCGGAGAATGATTGTGATGGCAGCCGAAAGCGGTTCAGCGAGAAACAAGCAGAAGAGTGGTGGGCAGAGAACAGAGGACGAGTTTACGAACAATACAATGTACGGATAGTTCTTGACAAATCAAGCGTGGATGTAGTAAGTGAAGCATTAACATAGAAAACCAGAGTTTCCCACTCATCTTTTTCTTGTTAATGGGGGGGTTTTATAGGTGTATAATTGAGGTTTATAACAAAACACAAGAGAGAGCTTAGAGAGATTAGGAGTGTGTTTTCACCATCATCTTCTTTCATTATAGTTTTGGGTGTTTTCTCTTGTAAATTCTTCTGTAAATCCTATAAACATATGTTGCCTTTTGTCTCTATAAACGATATTATTTGATGTTGAAGTTGAAGCAGCACTAATGGCTTGGAGCAAACTTGTTAAATAAGCAAGAAGGGTCTGTATACGAGAAAACAACACTTTATTGTAATGATTAAAATACCATTGCAAATACATTTTAGTAAATGAATATCACATCACTCATCTTGTGTTTGATGCACTAATACCCTTACATTTGTTGGTCAACAACTAAAACCAAGTTAACTCACCAAAACCAAACAACTAATGACCAACCATATAGAATTAGAACACAGCTTCTGAACAGCTGAGAAGACTACACCAACCTCTGCCTACCATTACAACTTGTTTCTTTTGTTAGTCCACCAATCCTGAACAAAGAAAAAAAACTCATAAAAACCATTCAGTAGAGACATTCCAAAACGACGATATGAACAACACTCACACTCACACCATGTCTTCCTGCTTCCACCCTCCTTCTATGACCACCACACACCGCCGCGAAGAAGACTCAATCATACTCTTCTCATCATCAAACTCCCCCGACGAATACTCCTCAGCCTCCTCTTCCTTCTCCTCATCTTCACCACTCCCAACCCCAAACCGCTACTCCCTAACCGTCACCAACCTCTCTTACACCATCCACCACGTCACCATACTCAAATCAATAACCTTCACAACTCAACCTTCAAAACTCCTCGCCGTCGTTGGCCCAAGCGGCACAGGCAAATCAACTCTCCTAAAAATAATCTCAGGTAGAGTAAACCACAAGTCATTACATCCTTCCTCCACCATCTCAATCAACAACAGTAAAATCATCAACAACAACAACAACAATAATCAGTTACGGAGACTATGCGGATTCGTCCCACAAGACGACGATCTCCTCCCTCTGCTTACAGTCAAAGAAACGTTAATGTACAGCGCCAAGTTCAGCTTACGAGACTCAACGGTTAAAGAGAAGGAAGAGAGAGTCGAAAACTTATTAAGAGATCTCGGACTCGTTCTAGTCCAAGACAGCTTCGTCGGAGAAGGAGACGAAGAGGATCGTGGAGTCTCCGGCGGAGAGAGGAAGAGAGTCTCTATAGCCGTTGAGATGATCCGTGACCCTCCGATTCTCCTCCTCGACGAACCGACTTCCGGTTTAGATAGCCGGAACTCGCTTCAGGTCGTTGAGCTGTTAGCGAATATGGCGAAGACGAAGGAGAGAACCGTCGTCTTCTCGATCCATCAACCTAGCTACCGGATCCTCGATTACATCTCCGATTACTTGATCCTCTCTCGCGGATCGGTGATCCACTTCGGGAATCTCGAGATTCTCGAGGACTCGATCGCGAAGCTAGGGTTTCGGATCCCCGAACAGTTGAATCCGATTGAATTCGCGATGGAGATCGTCGATTCGTTACGCGATTCGTATCAATCCGTGTCATCATCATCGATCTGGCCTGAGACGAACGAGAACGATACGATAACTAAGAATCAAGAGTTTCGTAGTAGTAGTAGTCTCTTCGACCTCGTCGAGATCTCGTTCCTCTGCTCGAGATTCTGCAAAATCATCTACCGTACGAAACAGCTCTTCTTAGCGAGGACGATGCAAGCGGTTGTTGCGGGATTAGGTCTAGGAAGCGTGTACACGAGACTCAAACGTGACGAAGAAGGTGTAGCGGAGAGGCTTGGACTCTTCGCCTTCAGCTTAAGCTTCCTTTTGTCTTCAACGGTGGAAGCTCTTCCTATTTACTTACGAGAACGCCGCGTTTTGATGAAAGAAACGTCTCGTGGATCGTACAGAATCTCGTCTTATATGATCGCTAACACTATCGCGTTTGTACCGTTTTTATTCGTTGTCTCGCTTTTATTCTCCATCCCAGTGTACTGGATCGTGGGGTTAAACCCGGCGCTTCATGCGTTTGCGTTCTTCGTGCTATGCGTTTGGCTTATCATCCTCATGGCTAGCTCCTTAGTGCTCTTCCTTAGCGCGGTTGCTCCTGATTTTATTTCGGGAAACTCGCTTATCTGCACTGTTCTTGGAGCGTTCTTTCTTTTCTCTGGTTACTTCATACCCAAGGAAAAGATACCTAAGCCGTGGATGTTTATGTATTATGTTTCTTTGTACCGTTACCCTCTGGAGTCGATGCTGGTGAACGAGTATTGGAGCTTGAGGAAAGAGTGCTTCTCGGGAGGGGACATGGGGTGTTTGATGACGGGAGAAGATGTGTTGAGGAAGAGAGGGCTTGATAAGGACACGAGGTGGATCAATGTCGGGATTATGCTTGCCTTCTTCGTGTTTTATCGGTTCCTATGCTGGGGGATTCTACTTCGAAAGTCTTATTCTAAGTCAACTCTTTAAAATATTTTTATTCTAGACAAAAAGCTGCGTTGTTCCCAATTGTCTTAGTTGCACCATTAATAAAATTTTTTTTTTTTTTTTTTTGTCACGTGGGGAACTCACCCAGGAATCGCAGAAGGCGGCGTCGAACCCCGGTGCCTTAGGTACCACTTAGCCACTAGGCTAAGGCTGACCCGGCGCACCATTAATAACTATTTAACGATTTTTACAAACACGATCATTAACTCTTGCTTGTGGAAAGAATCATGGAGATCAAAAACGACAATGCTCCAACAAACGAGTCCTTTTTATTCAAATCCATTTGCAGAGTTTCACATGTTCCAACTTAAAAACGACATAGAATAAGTTTGAGACGCACATAGAACCAAATGAGAGGAAAGGAAAAAGCAAAGCAACCAAAGAGAGTAAAATTCGCTGTAACAGAACAGCTAAACATTATTCGCAAGAAAAAAATAGATAAGTATAAAGGAGGATTAAATGTGCTTCATCCAGAGCGAGCCACAAGGTACGTTTCCTTTCTTATTCATTCATATATCGTCACTTAACATCTCCACTTCAAGTAAGAGAAAAGGCACTTTACTCCTATAGATTCCGCAGAAACCATTCATTCTTGTTACCATACCATCTCTTTCACCAACATGAGCTGTGTCCTGAATCTACCATCAATAAGAAATTAATGGTTACTATAAATAAACAAATGACTGCCTAAACATGTCTGAAGGCGGAATTGCAACACTAGCTTAAAGACGAACCTGTCAGGTAGGAAGTGCCCCACAACAAGCCAAGGCCACAAAGACTCCAACAGAACGAGGCTTACTTAGAGATAGGTAGCAGAAAACATTACGTAACACTCACCTGCATCATCCCAATTACCTAGATCAAAACCATAATAATAGGAGGAGATAACAAAGCATTAAATAATGCAAAAGGAGCTTTATGCCCTACTCTTACCGTGTTACTCTTCCATTCTGACCTCACACAAAGCGACGACTCGACCAACTGGGATGACCTTGATATTGCTCCGGGAGTTGAGCTGATTGATCGTTTCCGTTCACAAAGTTATCTTTCTGAGGATGCTGAAAATACGGAAATTCTGCTTGGACCTGTGATGCTGGAGCCTGTTTTCCAGGGAACGGAAAGTTAGCAGGCCCATTCAGTCCATTGTGTTCTGGCTTCCCAGAAGAACCGTTATTCAAAAAACTGTTGAAACTAGTGCCTTGGTGAGACTGGTTTTGGTATCCATCCAACCAGCTGTAATCATCAGCCGGTAGGCTGCTGCCAGACATATCGGGACCGGGTGCTGGCTCCTTGTGCAGCTTAGAGGGGACTGAGTTAAACCCAGGCGGTGGGCCAAGATGCCTGGAGGGTCTACCGATTGGACTTTTTCTTGCTATCGAAGATTGCACGCCCAGGCCATCAGAAATAACTCCAGAAGATGAAACAGTATCAATTATGGGTGCCAATGCGGCTTCAGGTGTACGTGACTGAGAATATGGCATACCAGCCATACCATTGACATTGAAAGACTGGTGGATCGGCAATGAGTGTGCAGGGTAATAGGAAAATCCTTGATTTCCTTGAATCTCATTCCTAATCACGTGGCCGTTACCCATCTGAGCAAAACCAGGTAGGCTATTTGCAGCTTCTTCTGGTAACCACTTGCTACCACCAAGGGAAGCAGATTGTGATTGGGCCAGTGAAACATGTGGGACCTGTCCTTGAGGATGTTGAAAGTGCACAGCCCGTGACTGCAGTTGTTGAAGTAGTGCTGCCTGCGATTGTTGTGCAACCTGTGATTGCATTGGTTGAAGTCGTGCAGAGGCTAGCGACTGAGCCGGCTGAGGATGCACTGCCTGCGACTGAACCTGTTGCAACTGCGCACCATGGGACTGTGTTGACGGCAGAAGATGTCCCAGAAGGTTAGAACCAACAGGTGCAGGCACTTGAATGCTTGCGTTGACTCTTGCCTGCAGAAGGAGATTTTCATGAAAAGCTGCATCTGAAACACTCAAAGCTTTGAAGTCCCCCATAGAAGCAACTTGATCAGGATTCTTGAAGCCTCCTCCATTAGGAACAAATATGTGGTCAGAAGCCCCTTTCCTCTTCTCAGTAACTAGAGGTTTGAAAACAATTTCTTCATCATCATCATCCTCACCCAAATGAATCTGCTGACATAGCTGCGTCACTGGCGTAATATGATTCATTACTTCTTGGTTATCTTGAAATGCATTATCAGCTTCCGCTGGGCTTGAATGTGATTCCAGCAAGTCATCCGACGGTTGAGAACCAACAAGAAATTTCTTCTTCTTTGAATCAAAATACACAGGATTCTGATCAACCTTGATCACACTGGTCAATGCTTTACCCGCTGCTAGGATCCTATTTATACGAGCTTTCTTTTCCTTGGGACCTTCGGTTCCAAAGGAATGTCTTCTTGAAAAGTCGAGAATAGATTGAGCTGGAAGCAATGGCAAGAATCCTCTTAATTCATAGTCCTCCCACAGTGCAAGTCGGTTTTCCGTTTCTCTTTCATCGTACACGCTCATGTTTGAGAAACAAGCCTCATCTTCAACATCATCAATATACATAGGCCCAAGAGACAAGATTTGATTGAAGAAGGCAACACACTGGTTCCAAAAGCTGTTTCTCGCAGCATTCCGTCTTTCATCCGGATCACTCCCTAGTGAAATATCAGGACAACAGGCCAACCATTCAACAAAAACTAAGACACCAGGCAAGAAGTAACTCGATGAAGGATCACTCAGTTGCGCACACTGCTTCATTACGTGTCCAAGTAACTCAAAACTTGCTGTTAAGGAGTTCCTCGCCAGCTCCACACGATTTACAATTTCTGCATAGGACTGACCTTCCTTTTCTTTCTTTGAGTTATCAACGCTAAATATAAGAATTGTTACAAGCCTAACGATAAAAAGTGCACTGTCACTGGTGTCTTTACCAAAACTCATATCTTCCGTTAAGCTCGAAGAAATCAGATCTCGTAAACTGCTGCTAGTGGAAGCAAGAACATCTGAGAACGTCTCCAGGCTGAACAAAGACAAGTGATAAATATTATACCAGAGATCCAGTAGCAGAAGCTAGAACAAACTAATTTTCAGAAAGAAAGAAAAATTACCTTGTTCGGGTAAAGAGAATCCCGTTGAGACGAACAAATTTAATGCAGAATGTTTTGAGCATCTCATCTGCACTAGTGACTTTATCCTTCTCAGGAACAGCTACCACGTCCGCATTTTTCTTCGATGAATTATCTTGGCCTTTACCTCTTCTTTTACCAGTGGGTCTTTTAGATGAGTCTTTGGAATTGGAAACCGCAAATAATTTGGAATAACTCTGACGATTCTGCTCAAGTACAAAGAGATAGACATGTGTTATATGTGGGTACTAAGAAAGTGAGAGTATAACCTCTATTATACTAAGCCACTAACATAATCAGAAAACAAAAGCTTATTAGTTAACCTTTTCAAAAGCAACAATCAAGTTGTCACGGGCAGTTGGGAAAGGAGTCTCCACAGCCAAACTCCGGAAATAACGATATGTTGCTGCAAACTCATCCTCCGAATAGGAAGCAATTATAGCAAGCTGAGACATTAAGTTGATATAATCAGACAAAATGTACGACATATCTGTACCAAACTAAGAATTTCACGTGAAAGAGAAAAGGAAATAACCTGATGATGTGGGTTTCCACTGCCTGGCAATAGAGAAGCAGCTTGCAAATAGTAACTTGACGCAGCAGCATGCTCTCGGTTCTTAGAATCCCCCTCTCCATACAATCCTTTATAACGAGCAAGGTCACCAAGGTATATTAAGCAACGGTGACAAGATACCAAGCCTTTTTGAACTTCTGCTAACTTCTTTCCATCTTTCTCAGCCAAATTTTGACTATCTTGAAAATAACCCAAGGGAAGCCCATACTTTGCTCTAATTTTTAAGGTCATTTCATGGTAAAACCCAGTTGCTTCTGAAAGGAAAGTTCTGAACTGGAGCTTGAGATTTGCGGCCCGGTCAAGCCTAGATGGACCCTTTGAATTTTGTGCCACACTCGAGTTACCAGGAGCCACGAGAGCAGTAATGTGTGATCTAAAGTCTTCAATCCGTTTGTAGTGCAGCTGCCACAGAGTAAATTCAATGTTGTGCTCCTCGGAAAAGGTGTGATCTTCAAGAACGATAGCTTCATAGTTCTCACGAATTTGCTGCCACAAGTCAGGGTCAAACGGACTCCTCGCCTGAGCAGCCTTCCGACGCTTGATTTCCAACTCAACAGTCTGAAAAGTTTGCATTTACTGTCACTGAGATGAAGATCCAAATCTAACAAAAGACATAGGATCAAGTAAAGAGACAACACGGCCTATACAACCCTACAAAGATGAGCTAAGACGAACCCATACAGCCCCTCTAAGAGGTAATGTTAAAATACCCAAACCCAGAGAAGTAAGAGAGGGAGAACCTTATTGAATATGGCCTTGGCTCGCTCCCTTGGCGAGGAAGCAGTATTCTTATCCATCTGCAAAGTCATCATCCATTCAATTCTCTCGAATTTACTTCACACACAACCTGCAATAAGAAAAAAGGAGAATCTTAGTAAAAGGGTCGAAGCTTAAACCTATGCTTGTGTCATTGTCTATAACAATGGATATAATGTAACAGCTAAACAATGCATATACATATATAAGAAGCTTAAACAACTTCGAAAGCTCTATGCTAAAAGAAAACAACAACACTAAGAGATAAATATATCGATACATACATGATTTTTTTTGTTCAAGTCAAAAACTTGAATAGAGAAATCAATACCCGTTACAGAAAACAAACGATTGAACAAGTGATCAACGGGAGATATTCACAAAGAATAAGAATAATCAACCGCAAAAAAAAAGAAAAAGATCTGATCAGGACGACCCCTAAAAGTCCTTTGTCTAAGAATCTTTTAAAACAATGAATAAAAATCGCAAGCAAGAAGCGAAATCAAGAAGAGTCAATCATCAATTTAGCAAAGGGGGGAGAAAACCCTAATCCAAGATTTTATCAAGACAAAAAAAAAAACGCGATTAAGACGAAAGCAACCCAGAATTAAGGCGAAGTCGTGAAATAGGACAATAAGCATAATCTCAATTACCAGATCTGCGAATGGTTAAGCGACCACGAATGACAAATCGGTGCGAGGAGAGGAACTAGGGTTTTTTTTTTTTTTTCCTCGAGAGCGAAATCGAAAAAAAAAAAGAGTAAAAGTGTTTGAGGTCGACTTTTCCTTAATATATAAGAGAGAGAGATAAATAATGTGAACGAGGGAAAGGGAAAAAAATATATATTGTCCAAGTGTTTTCTTTCCCTCGCTTTGTGGGCTTTGAACGACGTCGTTCTTTGTCTTTTCTCCTAAGAATATTTTCCATAATTATTCTTTTATTCCTCTTTTGTGACATCAAATATTTCTTCCTTCAATTATGTCTGCATTTGACAATCTTCATTTTTTTCCACTCAACAATAAATATATTCAATTAGAGATTGGAAAATCTAAAAACTGCCAACTTTATGCCGGAGTACGTCTCGATCACCAGATGTTGGGAGAACTCAGATTTTAAATTTTATCCCTAGTGACCAACAGAATTCGAACTCAGATCCATATTGGAGTCGAAACTCCCTCAAAAATCACTAGGCCATCCGGATACTCGCCGCTAGTCTAGATCCACCTGGGTAGATGCCAGGATACACTGAGTTATTCAAAAAAAAAAAAAAATCTAAAAACTGAAGTTCCAAGCCAACTTACCAACATCACAAGAATTCACGAACCGTCAGACACGATGTAAAATAGAACAATATTTGACCAGTTAATTGGCTGGTCAGAGTCTAAAGAGACCAACGTCCAACCACACGGCTTTAGAGTTACACACTTGTTGACAATACGAAAAAGAGAGATTTACAATTGGAATTTATAAACATAACCAACCTCACATAAAACAAAACAAAAAAAATATTGAGTATTACAATACAGAACAAAATTAAGTATTATATACACAATGAGGTCATTCTTGTCTTCAAGCAGAGCAAAAGCTACACATCATTAATCAATCACCAAAAACATATACAAAGCAAACAGATGCTTTATTATTCTCATAAAATGTTAGTTCCAAGTTGGAGAAGATGGCCTGTGTATGAAATCTTGAGAAGAAGAAGAAGAGCCGCCATAGTTAAGATCCAAGCTATGGAGCTGCTCCATTAGCTGCGAACGTCTCTCCTTGAAGAAATCAAGACGAGTTGTTAACTCCACCAGAGCTGCTGATGCAGCTGCTGACGGATGATTAGGCCTTGCGTACTCTGTTATCTGCAACACCGTTACATATTCTTACAATTGTTAGTGTGCTTTGTCTTCACTAAAGATGTTTGCTAAAAAAATTCTAAAAGCGTCCAGCCTGATTTGCTAGTCAGAGAAGCTAATCCTTCATGTCTCTGTAGTTACCATTTTTTTACAACTAACTAGGAACTAATAAACAAACCAGATAAGGCAAGTCATGTCTACAATGCAACCTTTTGTCAATGGAATGATAATCTTACATCTAATGCTCTTGAAGTCGACGGAACAGATGGAGAATCTTCACTGCTTTTAGAGTCGACCATGTTAGTTGATTCTTGTATTTGCTTACGAGACGGTTGTCTGCTATTGCCAACACCAAAAGATCCTGCTCCTTTACTATTTCTCCACTCCCCTCCCAGAGAATTCTCCTGCAGGTCAAACAGAAGATTCTATTGGTTTTATCTTAACAATAAAAGAGGATGATCCATGACAGAAACTTCAGTAAAAATACCTCGTGTCGTTGTTTCCTTTCATGATTTACAAAGGCGAGAGTGGAATCGAAATCTTGTTGAAGGAACCTTCTGCAGAAATACATAACATGGTATTAGAGCAGAAATAAAATATACATTTGAATCAATCACATTACAGTACATACAAGATATGCTGTGCAAAAATTACTTAAGACATAATTTTATAGATGATACGTAAATCTGAGATAATTGCTAAAGAAGATCAAGAATAGGCCACTGCTGAATTCAATTCAATTCAAACATCAAAGATTTACAGTACCAAGTATAAGTCGTCATGAAATAAAAACATGGACTATAAGCTCTGCTGTGTAAGGAAAATAGGAAAAAGCGATGCAACTCACTTTTGAGGATTGTGATTCTGGAGATACTGATGATTATCACGCGCCTCTGAGAAAGAACCGAAGTTAGTCTGACGTTGTTGGCTAAGCTGATGGTGAAGTTCTGCGACTTTCTGCTTCAGCCTTGCCACATCAGCCTCAGCAAGAGCAATTTCCTCAAGCTCAGCCCTTGTCTTCAAATATGCATGGATCATTATTACTTCACACGAACTCATTGTTCTAAAGAGAGATACCAATTCAAAAAAATCTATACTTACTTTCGAATCCACACCATGTGAGCTGAATTGTCCAGAGGACATGCTCAAACCAACCTCCAGTGCTGCTCGGAGATCTCTTTCCGCTTGCAACTGCTCTTGTAATCTTGACACCTGTAGAACAGTAGAAGTATTCTCCCATCAAACCAAAAGAGCATTCCTTTGACATTAGGCTTAACTTAGAGAGGAGATTCATAAAAATGGATAGTTTTGAAGAGAAAATTTTATACGTCTTGTTCAAGCGACAAACGACGCTCATGAAGTGCTTGCTTCCTTCTCTCCAAGCTAGCCTGTAGTATCGCATTACCTCTGGCCTATATTCGATGATGGTGACCCGTGTTAATGACTTAATGAAGTCAAATAATAAATTTTAAGGCAGTAGATTATTTTACCTCTTTTGCTATTCGTTGTCGCAATTCATTTTTCGTGGCCTCGAGTCTCTGTATAGCAAGCCTACATAGAATTTGATTAACAAATTAGTAGTACAAAAACAACAAGCAAGAACAATCTCATATGTCTTCGATTCAATCCTAGACCAAAACGATGAAGACGCAGATCACAATATTGCACAGACAGAAACATAGAAAGAACATAGTCTTCAGTAAGTTGCTAAGACATGAGCAGTGTCATTCAATGCCACTGAAGTAAAAGGATACTTGAAAAAGGTAAAGTGTGAAAATGAATCTTGATAACATATGGATAGATAATCAGTCATAAAATGCTAGCAGAAACATTTTCTCTATATAGATAGAGATTACACTAAAGAGTGAAAGCCTTACTCGTCTTCTCCTGAAGAATCAAACGATCCATCTGTAGATCTCTTTCTGGCCTGTGACAAACAAAGAGCAAAGAAAATGTTATTGATGTTATTCCACCAGACATTCATTATCTCTATATAACAAACAAAGAGCAAAGAGTTTTCTATCATGCACCCATTATACTTGAACTAATGTGTCAAATCTGACACATGAACAAGAATCAGAACTATTTTATCAAGATAAGCAAGCACTTACACTGCCACGACCCCAGAATGTTGCACGCTTTGCAGGAACAGAGGAGGGTGTGCCCTTATTCACGGGCTTCTCACTAGATGATTCAAGACCAGGAGCAGCCAAAGTATTTCCATGAGTGAGTACATTTAGTACCTTCCCTGATTGAAAAGACTCGCCGCCATTTACTAGACATGAGTTTCCTCCATATTTTGTTGGATCATCACCTATCTGCTCTCCAGCTTGTTGATCCGTGGAGTTGCTGAAAAGATTTCTCACAACATGATCTGTTCGTACGTTTGAATTACGTATTGGACCACTTATCTCTCTAGGTGATTCATTATCAGAATCATCAGCAACAAATCCCTACAAAGAATGTATTCAGCAATCATCAAAAATAGCAGAGTAGATACATATATAAACCATACTTCCTATGCTTAAGGGCTTCCCATCATTTCACCACCTATATTAATGAACCATGCTTCCTATATCTAAAGGCATTTATTACATTACCAACACTAGATGTTTCATGTAAGCTTGGCATGGAAGCGTAAGTATATTAAAGGAAGAGAGAATCAGACTGGCCAAAGGAGAAATAACCTTGTATTCATAGAGATCGCTGCTTCTGCCTCCGCTGCTCTCACTCATTTTTTCACTCAATGCACGCTCGTTATCATCATCTGTCACTGGTTCTACTTCATTCTCTGCATTATGATATTCACTTTTTGAGTTGTTGTCATCATCACTAGAATCATCAGGTCCACTATTACCAATATGCGATTCCGTTGAAATGGAACATCTTTGAATATTTTCTTCCTGAAAGTTGCAGATATATAAGACACAGATGATCCATCGTATATAAGACATACAACATGATTAAATTTGTATAGAACTATCTGAGTGCGTCTTACATCGAAAATACTTCCATAATCTTCTAGGAGAACAGTAATGATGGCTTGAGCATTATTGGCAGCATTAGCAGCAGCAAGAAGCTGAGCAGAATTGTCTTCACCGCTATCAAATTCGTCCTCTAGATCACATTCACCAGCCAGAAGAGGACGTAAGAGCAGAGGAGCCATGCAAGCAGCTACAGCAGATGGGTTCATTCGATTTTCGTGGGAATGAGACGAGATCGTATGCATCATTTTCAGAATCCTGAGAGTACAACGCAAATACGTAAGCATTTAAGAAAACACCTTGTAAATGATTCTTGAGCTAGTACTCATAAACCCTCAGGACATTTATCTTGCCTATAGACTCAGACTTGACAGGAAACAAGTAACAGTGTAACATCAACTACAACATCTAATATATCTTATAAACTGTTAGCAGTGAGAGTTCAACAACTAGCTCTAAACAATCCAGAAAGGAGATCCGGAAACACACCGTTGTAGTAAACGTCTATTAGGTTCAGGAAATGTTTCCGCCATAGCAGAGCGCAATGAACTAATGCGAGCCTCCTTAGACTCAATTCCTGATCCAGCAAAACGATTAAAAGGAGGTCAACTACACAGAGCTTCAGTCAGATCTCCAAACATTCTCCACAGAAGACCAACTTAAACAAATATATATATATATAACACACACAGAGTGAGGAAGAAGAAAAGGGTACGGAGACTCACTGTAAGCTTCCAGCAGGGCAGTACAACAAGATGCTGAAACCGGAGAAGAAGGCAATTCCCTCAGCACATGCTGCAAGTGAAATAAATTAACCTTAGCATTGTAAGAATGCAGAAAATAACAAAAGAAGTTGAAAAGAAACTACCTTAATGCAGTCTCCAATAACATGCGGATCTTCATCAAAAGTGAACTCCGTTTTGCCTACGAATTAATTGGAGAGGAAGAAGGAAAAATATGTAAAACTGTGTATTGGTCGGAGCACATATCTTAAGTACCAGGGAAGTCTAAGAACATATTAAATAGCATGAGGAGATGTGCTTAAACAAAATTAACAGAGAAATCAGTTGGCAGATTATAGGTACCCTGTTCATATTCTTGAACTCTGCGTTCCACCTCTTCCACGTCAGCAGCCTGTCTTAATATTCCTTCAATTTTAGTTCCTGAAAGACAGTGAAACAGATAAAAAAAACAGTTAAAAGAAAAATGCATACATCTAACTGTAATTGCAAGAAATTGTACAACAGAAAGAGTGAGATAGTAGAATCATGCAAATGACAGTAAGGTTTCATCAAAATGGATACATTCTATGCATTAAGTTCCCTGACAAAACTATGGACACATTTTGATGCAAAAACCGCATACCCCAGCAAAATCATTATGGGAAGACCAGGAAATCAATAAAGCATGGTGATAACTACCAATATTTTCTCAAGAACTTACCATATTTCTCAATAAACTGAAGAGCTTTCTCGAGGAATGATGGGCTTCCATCAATATCTTCAAGAGCAAGTAATATTGGTCTTCCAACAACCAAGGATTTTAATGGACGTTTATCCCGCCCTATCATTTATGCACAATAAAGGTAGAATGACGTTATAGATAATGGAAAAAATAAACAAATTTCAGGCAGAATATTTATAAGCATGCCAGTATAATAAGTATAAGATGCGTGCTAAAGTTGTAAATGGTTTAAAACAAAAATTGATGAATGGAACCTTCGACAGCCTCATTATTTTCAGCACGGAACATTCCATTATCACCCACGGTGAGTGCTGCATTAGGGGCTTGTGCAAGAGCCTGCTCAAGAGCAGTTTTCCAGCCATACAGATCTTCAAATGTCTCAGCCTACACCACACAACGAGAAGTTAGCAGTAGAACAAAGATCATTATTCGGGTAGACAGACATCTAGGGAGAATGTATTGTGGAAGAACCTTAAGAGTGAAAGCTCTCCCATCACGCCCATCAGGAAATAATACCGTTAACAATTTCTTATCCTCTCTCACCACAACACTGGTAACAGAAGGCACTGTAAGTTAAATTCCATAAATTTTAAAATCAGTTAGCAAAATCCTGCATACCTTCCAGAGTTATTCAAGTCGATGCCACCAAGGGTTAAGTTAACTTCACCACCCTTTTGTGGTAGTGTAGCCTGTGAAATTTTAGTGGCAAATCTCAGTATATACAATTCTGAGGAATCTTATCATACATTATCAAGATAAGACTACACAGACAGCATGAATGTAAGTACTAACAGGATCATTTTTGAAGAAGACCAACGAAATACGTGTGAGGATGAACCAGCGTTTCTTCCAAGACGTCCAGCCTAATCCTATTGCGCAGAAGGCCAAAATACAATGTTAAATGCACTATGCTATACCGATAGCCAGAAGGAATTGAACAACTGGACAAACATAGTGAAATGTGACAACTTTAATTGAAAAACAGGGAGGGGCAAAAAGCCACAAGGATACCTTTGGAGGATATGAAAAGTGGACCACTCTTATAAACCTGTCAGAAAATTGCGAGTTACATGAAATATTAGTACCAATCAACAGCTTAGCCACCAAATTTACATTTAAAGAGAAAACAGATAGTGGAGAGACAAAAGTAAACTCGATAAACAAATTTCTTGTTCTCAGTTCATATTAAGTACCAGAGTTTGCAAATATCAAGAATTGAAAATCTGCATGCTACTAACTCAGCCAGTTGAATCCCCTTATATTTGCCATGTATCTCATTACTACTTAACTCATAAATCACTTCCTTAGTTACCGTTTTGTGCGTATTTCTAACAAAATCAACCTTCTCTTTTGATATAATGAACATGTACTCGACGCAGAGACTATATACTTCAAGTCAGCACTGATAGATTAAAAAGCACAGGAGCAATCAACCCAATAGGCTTCTCAAAAGAACACGGAACTTATACAAGGAACAGCTAATCAGAGCTTGTCTCACAACTAATTAAAGGACATGTGCATCAAATCATGAGATTCCTAGAACAACAACCAAGGTCTGACAACAATGTGGAGATTAAAAATCTCCAAACTCAAACCGTATACATTAATTTGATAACAATATATACTTTGTCTATTTTTAGCAATTCCGACATATACCTAATAACCAAAATTCAGACAACTAAATCCTGGAAAAAAAAAAACACTAAACCATGGTTTACGAAATAAAATTATCATACGATTCACTTAGTGATAAACAACATCCGTATTCACCAACTTCCAATGTACTCAGAAAATGAAAAAAAGAAAAACAGAAATTGAAGAAACTGAATTACCGTATTAGAAGCAGCACCTCGTGGCCGCTCCAAAGCCGCTAAAGAAGCATCCATTGCCTCAACAGCATAATCTCAGATCCAATTGATAGGGTTTCGATTATACAATAGAAAGAGACAAACAATCATCACCAAACCAAAGTCTCCTCTCTCTCTCTATCTCCTCTCACTCAAAGGAAACAACAACAGTGCCACCGATCAGCCGTCGCAGGATTCCTCCGTGTCTCCGCCGCGAGATGTAAGAGAGGAAGAAAAAAAAAAGGTTTTAGCGGTTAGATAGAGAAAAGAGGAAGGGACATTGCTTTCCACCTACTACTTCTGTTGTGTTGCGTTTATGGAGAGAGAAAGTGTGTGGATGGATTGGGTCATGAGTAGTGTCGGAGAAGTCACGGGTCGGGTCTGGTAAAACTTAAGTCGTATTTAAATCATTATAACCAATCACGGTGCTCCAGCTCAGCAACAGCTGGTATGAGACCCTCCTGCTCCATGGCCTATTTGATTAAATTCCGGATTAGGTAGGTACTGCGTTTTAGTATTTTGTTTTAGTTCCTTGTAACCGAATAATATGTTCTTTACTTTCTCATTGGACTAATTAAACTACTAATTTTACTGCTTTACAAAAAATGATATCAACTCTCTCCCATACAAATGATTTAATGCTCAGTTTCACACACAGAAAGTTATCGGTCACATTTGCCCCATGCTCAATTCCTAGGTACTGAAACTATTGTATCAGAGATTATAGAGAATACTAGAATAAGGGATGATTATCACTAGATTTTTTTTTTTTTGACAATCTATATATACAATACTAAAAATTGCATATTCTTTGACCATCTCCAACCCAAACTTATTTTCTCCTCTATAATTCCCACAAAAATAGAATAACTCTATTTTAGAGTGATTTTTTCTCTCATGGTTCACTCTAAAATAGAGTTACATAGTAGAAAATAGAGGGATATCGCTTCTTCACTCTATTTTTGGAGTGAAAAGGTGATATCCATCTATTTTCTACTCTATAATAGAGTAACTCTATTTTAGAGTAAACCATTGGAACAAAAATCACTCTAAAATAGAGTTACTTTATTTTTGTGAGAATTATAGAGGAGAAAATAGGTTTGGGTTGGAGATGCCCTTAAAGGAGAAGATGTTCACATTGACAAAAATAATTAACCAATCAGAGTGTTTCAGAATGTCAGAATTGGGTATTTGGACTTTTTAAAATGTTTTATTTGGTGTTTGTGGCCCATTAAGCTAACAAGCAAGAAACCTAAGCTCTCTCTTCTCCCACGATAAACCCATTCTCTGTTTCTTTTCTTTGTTCGATGATTCCTCTTCTTAACCGAACGTCGATTGAATCAATCGACACATGAGGGTTGGAGACCGACAAACATGAGTGGACATGCGAGGAGCAGTGAGTTGGGACGATATCGGAGTAGCTGCGTTTTTTGAATCTGTTTGTTCTAAGCTTTTAAGCGACCCAAATCGCATCACAGAGAGGGCGATTGGGGCTGTACCTATAGAGGAGATAACGGTGGCAACGTCACTTGAGATCAGAACAAACAGAAATAAAAGAAATTTTCGCAAGATCACGACTATATCAAAACAAACACAAGGTAACATATTAAATTTCTCAGATCTAATTATGTTCATGTTCTTTTCCTTCTCAAATTGAATTGTAGATAACCACCTAAGTCACACAGATGAAAAAAGAAAAAAATCAGAAAATAGGTATGTAAGTCATAACTATTTAGCTAAGTTTATCATATATGCTCTGTTATTTCATTTGGGTTTAGAAAAGATTTAATCTTTTTGTTTTGGTTATTCAATGGTGAAGTTTTCGCGTCTCCCGACCATTTTCCAAACATTGGGTTTCGAGCATGACGAGAAGGTTCTTCCTCCGATTGGAAACAAGGTCTTGAAAGCTGTAGTTGCTCAGTTCAATGATGATCAGCTCCTAACAGAGCGTCCTCAAATGTCAGCACTCGTCCGTGACTCTCTCATCAAGCGTGCCAAGGACTTCAACATTGAGCTCGACGATGTTGCCATCACGCATTTGTCATACGGTTTGGAGTTCTCGAGGGTAGTGGAGGCGAAGCAAGTGGTTCAGCAGGAAGCGGAGAGGTCCAAGTTTGTGGTGATGAAGGCTGATCAGGAGAGGAGAGTTGTGGTTATTAGAGCTGAAGATGAGAGTGAAGCTGCTCAGTTGATTTTTGATGCAGCTGCTAAAGCAGGAATGGGACTGATCGAACTCAGAAGGATTGAGGCTTCAATGGAGGTTGCAGCTACACTGGCTAGGTCTCCGAACATAGTGTACTTACCCGGTGGACAAAGCATGCTCTTTAACCTGAACATTGGTCGTTGAGCAAGCAATTGGTATGTTCCTTTTAGACTTCTTACTCTTTTGAATAGTGAATGATAATGGATTAGGAGTGGAATCCATTACGGCTTTTAGAGTTTTTTTTTGTTTGGTGTTGGAGAAATCAATAGCGAACTAGAATCTGATTGTTTTTGGTTTCGTTCTGTTTTCGAAGATTAAACTTAAGAAAATTTGAAAAGCATGGTTAAGTTTAGGTTATGTATAATTATATAATACTTATGGTATGGATATAGAGTAAAATTGTATAATGTGTGTCATGATTTTTAGTTTATTCAGTTGAGTTGAACTTAGTTATATTAAAGTTTGGTAAAAATACAGTTTAGGTTTTTAACAAGGTTCGGTTTTTGGTTTGGTGTTTATGTGTCTTCCTTTTATCTTCCAGGATTTATCCAGATAACTTCTTTGGCTTTGATGAACATTTTAGGACGCTATGATGAACAATGTGAAAAAAACAACTTTAAGTTGCTATATTGAGCCTTTTAGATTATTTCTGTTTTGAATCTTAGGCAAAAATTTTGTAATGAGATCATATATTTATAAGTGTTTATTGAAAAATTAATATATTTTCAAATTATATTATATTTTTTAATAGACTCAACATAAAACTAAATAAATAATTAATGTTGTACATTTAAAAATAATTTTCGTATCTACACTTACATTTTCCTTTTATGCATATTTTCACAATTATATACTAAGAGCATAACATTCTTTCATCTTTTTGTCATCAAACTTTATCTAGAATCACCAATACATAATTTTTGTAGGCAAAATAGTAATCATTTGTGTTATGCTTTCCTACATACATTTATGATTTTTTTTGGATGATGTGTCAATCTTTGGATTTATGGTTTAATTTACTCTTCTTTATGATTTTTTTTATCTTAAAATTGGATTCTACAATTTATGATATGTATTTATAAAGGCTCATAAACTCGCATGTAAAGTTTTTGAATTTTTTTGTGAAACCTAATCCGATAACAAAACATTTTATTCCTCAACAACATTGACAAGAATTTAGCCAATAATATCTATGATAATTAATTGGTAAAATGAAATACGCTAATAAAAATTAAATTAAATACAACCTATAAAAATAATATTTGATATATATAAAAATCTTGATTAAGAGATCTCTAAGCTATTCCACAATAGAAAACAAATCATTCAATCAATATTGTATTAAAAAAATTTAAAAATCCTTTTAATCAATATTCAAACTTCACCTCAAATTTATATAGATAAAAATTAATTAAAAATTAAAACACATAATAAGATAAACTATTAAATCTAAACTATATAATCCGTGCGAAGCGCGGAAATGAGCTCTAGTAAATTATAATATCTAAAATTGTACATTAACATAAAAGTGATATTTTAATATCTGAAATGTATAGACTCTCAAAAAAAAATCATCTTTTATGTCCCTTCTCTTGTTTTTCATTTGTTTTGTTGAGAAATCCATAAGAAACTCTACCAATGCATAGTGGCTTCAAATGTATTTTGGCCAATGCGACCAATTTCCCAATATGTTATAACATGAATTATTTATTTTTTTAAGCAAAAAAAAAAAAAAAAAAAAAAAAAACTCTACCGATGCACTTGTTCTAAAGCATTCTCATCAAAATCTCTCACAAAGTTCTAAAAGCTTTCTCATCAAAACTCCATCACATAGTCTTTTCTGAATAAAATAAACAAAAGTAATTTAAACATAAGAGAAAGTAAAAAGAAAATTTCATATGTGAGACTTTCAAATATTTTTGAGAACCCCAGATTACACTTTACTCATAATCTATGGTCTAAATAATTAAGTTATTTTTTTCAAAAAAATTAACTTAATAAACAAAATAGTAATATTTGAGAGATTTTTTTGGACAACATATTTGAGAGATTCATATGTCTTTTAGCATTTTTAGGCTTGTAAATGCCAAATCTTGGGTTATCAAGAAGTCATCATTGGGTCCGACCTTGGTGATCTTCTGTTGGCAGTGAAAAAGCCTAGTAACTGGCCAAGGTTCCGTTGCATCCTCCAACGTATTCATCAGCTTTGCAATCGTTTCCCATCGGTGGCATTTGAAGCAGAGACAGGGGACTCCAACAGGACTGCACGTGAGATCGCAAAAAGTGTCCTCCGAGATGGCAGGTTTCAGTCGTACTTGGCGAGAGGTGGACCAGCTTGGCTCCATAACATCATCAACAGAGAAGCTAGAAGGATGCACTCATAGATCTTTATCTTTAGATTGAGTGTTCTTTTTATTTCCTCTGTTTTGTTTCAAACTTAACCACTCCTCTGTGGTCTTTTGCAGACGTTAAAAAAAAAAAATGCCAAATCTTGTATTAGTGACTTTTAAAAATAACTTAATAAACAAAATATTACTATTTGAGAGATTTTTTTTGGACAACATATTTGAGAGATTCATGTCTTTTAGCATGTTTTAGGCTTGTAAAATGCCAAATCTTGAATTAGTAACTGCATCCATTATCCCAAAAAAAACAAATTTTGATTAATCCATTTCTTAATCCAAACTATCGCAAATCATATTCGGAAAACTATATAATATAAGCTTCAGTTTAGACATCAATTAGAATATACAAACAACCTCCAAAAATCTCCAGGAATGGCTCTCAACCTTACATAACAAATCCTAAAATAAATAATCTAATATTGCTTTAAAATAACAAAAACACAGAGAGGCTTTCCTGAAGTCCCTCCCCATCAGCAAAACCTATTACCGTTCTGAAAACCGAAGGCCAGCCAAAATGAATAAGACTTGCAAAAACAGAAAAACACTAATAATGGCCATTCATAAGCAAAAACTCCTAAGTTTTCTTGCTACAGAAGAAACTCAAAACCTAAAAGAATAGACAGAGGAAGAAAAAAAAAATTGTTGAGAACCTAAAAAGAATACTATTAACATTGTATTGCTCTTCCTGGTTGAGAACTTTACTTCCTCTCCCCTTTATTGCAACAATGGGAAATTGTTGCGCTCATGGACGAGACGAACCCACGCAGGACAGAGGACTTGGAGATAGTGCTGAAGCCTCTGTGAAAGCTTCTAGACACCCACCAGCATCTCCTCCTCCTGGAGCCAAGCAAGGCCCCATAGGACCAGTCCTAGGCCGACCAATGGAAGAGGTAAAAAGCTCATATACATTAGGGAAAGAGCTTGGCCGTGGACAGTTCGGTGTAACCTATCTCTGCACTCAAAAATCCACGGGACTACAATTCGCATGCAAGACCATTGCCAAAAGGAAGCTGGTGAACAAAGAAGACATTGAAGATGTAAGAAGAGAGGTTCAGATAATGCATCACTTGACAGGTCAACCAAACATCGTTGAGCTCAAAGGAGCGTATGAGGATAAGCACAACGTGCATTTGGTTATGGAGCTTTGTGCTGGAGGAGAGTTGTTTGATAGGATTATAGCCAAAGGTCATTACTCTGAGAGAGCTGCTGCTTCGTTGCTAAGAACCATTGTTCAGATTATACATACTTGTCATTCAATGGGGGTTATCCACAGAGACTTGAAGCCTGAGAACTTTTTGTTGCTTAACAAAGAAGAGAACTCTCCTCTAAAGGCAACAGACTTTGGGCTTTCCGTGTTCTACAAGCCAGGAGAGGAGTTTAAAGATATTGTGGGAAGTGCTTATTACATTGCACCTGAGGTTTTGAAGAGGAAGTATGGACCAGAGGCTGATATTTGGAGCATTGGTGTCATGTTGTATATTCTCTTGTGTGGTGTTCCACCTTTCTGGGCTGGTATGTCATATCTATCTTATCAAAAAACAAAGACATTATAAAGAGGTTGATTCTTATCATTCATGTTTTTTATTTCAGAGTCTGAGAATGGGATTTTCAATGCCATTTTAAGTGGACAGATTGATTTTGCAAGTGATCCATGGCCAGCTATTTCACACCAGGCAAAGGATCTTGTGAGGAAGATGCTAAACTCTGATCCAAAACAAAGACTAACCGCTGCTCAAGTTCTCAGTAAGTATCTCTTACCTACTATATATTTTCAGTAAACTCTTTTTTAACATAGTTTTGTTTTTCCTTTGTGGAATTTAAAAGACCATCCATGGATTAAGGAGGATGGAGAAGCACCAGATGTTCCTCTTGACAATGCTGTGATGTCAAGGCTCAAGCAGTTCAAAGCAATGAACAACTTTAAGAAAGTTGCTTTAAGGGTAAACTTTTAATCTCTTTCTCAAAACCATATATATATGAGAATTGACTCTTTGGTCTTATATGTATCTCAATGGCCTCATCAATGAACAGGTGATAGCCGGGTGCTTATCAGAAGAAGAAATCATGGGGTTAAAGGAGATGTTCAAAGGTATGGACACTGATGACAGTGGAACAATAACTCTTGAGGAACTAAGACAAGGACTTGCCAAGCAAGGTACAAGGTTGTCTGAATACGAAGTCCAACAGTTAATGGAAGCTGTAAGTCTTCTTCTTGTTTTTGTTTTGTGTTCTATCTATATATATATTAAGATGCCAGAAGAACTGATTCTTTTCTTTTTTCCATAGGCTGATGCTGACGGTAACGGAACAATAGACTATGGAGAGTTCATAGCAGCAACAATGCACATTAACAGACTTGACAGAGAAGAGCATCTCTTCTCAGCTTTCCAACACTTTGACAAAGACAACAGTGGGTAAGTACAGTGATTAGCACATAGACAAGACAACAGTTTATGATAGTTAAAACCAGTTAAAGAAATGATGGTCTTGGTTTCCAGATATATTACAATGGAAGAGCTGGAGCAAGCCCTGAGGGAGTTTGGCATGAGTGATGGCAGAGACATCAAGGAAATCATTTCTGAAGTTGATGGAGACAATGTAAGCTCCTTATACTATCTCTGATATAACTTTGATAAGCACATACAACAAAAATCTGAAAGAAAAAAAACTAACTTACTTTGTAGGATGGGAGGATAAACTATGAGGAGTTTGTGGCAATGATGAAAAAAGGAAACCCAGATCCTAACCCTAAGAAGCGGCGTGAACTGTCCTTTGACACAACTTGAAGAGACTAAGTCAGAGGGCCCATAAGAGAAAAAAAAATCAAGAAGAAGAACAGTTGTTATTGTAAAGTAGGCTTGGGTTGCTCATGATTCAACTGGAGAAGAGAGATGTATGGGATTAGGGAGGTGTTTCATGTTCGTATGTATATGTATATGCTTGTCTACTACTGAATTTAAAAGTTTAAGATGTTTCTCAAATGTATCAAACTCCTTTTTTTCAATTCAAATATGTGCATTAGTGATGTTTGTATAATCACAGCTGAGCAAAGCATACAAACACGAATAGCATGAAAGCAGATGCCTCTTAAGTCCTTCTCTGGAGAGACAATTTCAAAATCAAATAGAGAAAGAAAAAGCACATCATAGATCAACCACGTTAACTAGATGCTGATTGTAGATTACAGAAAATAAACCGGTACAGGCAAAACAATCAAACAAAGAGCAGTGACTAGTGGCGCCAGAAAAAACTGAACCTGGACACATTAAACATCTCAAAGAGTCCACCATTCTCTATTCTTCTCTTCGTTATTATGACGCGAGGGGTGAGGTACGGTGCCACGATAGCCGTCCTAGTATGGCACTGGCATGAACCGAAATGTAACCAGCATTTAACCTACAAATGCAAAAGGAACAATAGATTAGGGGCATTCAACTAATCACCCACCAAGGTATGAATGTGTAAGAAAGTCATAGGAATTTTTACTTGTCTACATCCGGAGTGGCCATAGGGTCATATAAGTCTTGCTCTGTCCCTGCAACTCCACCCGCTGCAGAGTTTGTAATTTCTTGTGTACCGTCTCCCTGCAAAATTGTTGACCGTGAAAAAACAAGCAAGAAGCACCAAAAAAGAAAAAACTGTTCATTTCTTTACCTGTTGAGGATACTGGGGATAGCCATATCCACTATACGCGTACAAAGATGGGTCTTGAGCTGTCCCATAAGCATATGCATCATAGCCTTGCCCATAACCATAATACGCACTCCACTGATTGGGATCTGCTTGTGTAGCGTAACCATCCTATAACAAATACCAAAAGGTCATCAACAACATTCAGTGAACCAAAGAGTACAAAAAGGTTTTACATCACATCAGAATAGGCTATACAGCAAACGGTTTTTCACCTGTCCTGGATTTTTGCTCCAAGAGATGCGTACTGGTTGTTGACCGATCACTTGTCCCTGCATTTTCTGCATGGCTTCTTCTGCTGACGTCCTGGGTCAGCATGTGGCAGAAGTCAAAATTTTAGTGAACAGAGCTAGAAATAAGCATACATGGAAGCAATCACTTTTGAATATTGAGTTTTATTGGATGGTTTACCTGGTTTTGAATTGAACATAACCGTATCCCTTTGTTTCAGGTATGTTGACATATATAATCTCTCCTAGTGACGAAAATGCGTTCTTCAGCTCTTCCTCTGTAACATTTGGGTCCAAATCCGCAACTAAAACCTGTACACCAATACCAATACATGAAGACCAGCAGGGGAATTTTGAAACGAAAGCTTAAGCGTTTCAGATGAAACTTACCGTTGTACAGGTGATGTCATTTTCAGGTGCAAGGACCTGTGCTGGTTGCGCAACGTATGCTGGGACTGTTGCGGCAACTGCAGTTGGGGCTTGAACCGGGTAAGCAGCTAGAGAAAAACTCCCAATTAGATAAATGATTTGGACTAAACAAGATTCTATTAACATAATTCAAATCTTGTGTTTTTTTTATTCTCATACCTTTGGCAGCATATGGTTGCTGCAAGCCAACGCCAACGGTTTTTTTAGGCGTTGCTGCACTGATACGCATAGGCCTCGTTGAGCAATACAACCCATTCATCTCAGCCATAGCACGGTTCCTTTCACTCTCCTCAGCAAATTTCACAAACCCATATCCCTTAGATCGTCCAGTACTCGGATCAGTAACAACCTTGGCACCTCTAACAGAAGAGTAGTGAACACGGAACGTCTCTTGAAGAAGATAATCCGTAACATCTGGCGCCAAATCTCCAACAAAGATAGAATGATCGGTTCCAGGATCTACTTTCTGTCCAGCACCAAAAGAAGCCCAATTTAAACGGAAATTAATCTCAGTTCCAGGCATAGGTGTCCCGTTGTAGGTCTGAAGCATTCTCTCTGCTGCAGCGTGAGATATAAACTCTATGAAACCGTAACCTTCTGGTTGGCCTGTGATCTTGTTACGTATTACCTTCACAGAAACTAGCTGCACACATCCATATATATATATAGAGATCACTTACAATGTTAAGCTTAAGAGATTAAGCACATGCAAAGATATAAACTAAAGTCTACATATGAAAGTACATTCATCAACTACTATTAGTGCCTAATGAACTTAGGAGCATACCTTAACATCCTCAAAACCTAAAGTTATTAGCTTTATCTATTCCTAAATAAACCCTATGTACTTAGATACTAAACCATCCCAAAGCAATCAGGAGCTGAGGCTGAGGAAGAGGAGAGTAAGGTTACCTCGCCGGTTTGGGAGAAGCAGGAAGAGAGGTAATTTTCGTCGACCCAGTACTGTAAATCTCCAATCCAGAGTGTTCTTACTTCCTCCAGCGTCTGTGGATGGTGGTAGCCTTGCGGCTGAGGAGGCATCATCGTCATCATTCTCTCTCTCTTTTCTTCGCTGGCGAAATTTCCGAAGAAGCGCCAAAACGTAAACCTAAACACACACGAGACACGACGCGGTTTAGTGGAGGCGTCGCTCGCTAATACATCCCGGCCGGTTTAAAAGTATTTGATTAGTGAATTTAGTTTTAGATTAATTAGTAATTAGTTAATGGAAAAGGGTATTAGTGTGAAATAAAATTAGATATAGTAAACAAATATTTACATTTGACTTACATGAAAAAATGACGAAAAAAGACTTGCACGAAAAAAAATAAGAATTATTTAATAAAATAGCTAATTTTTTTTTTTAAACTACAAACTGTTTGTATTAAGTAAAAGAATAAAATTATTATTTAGAGGATCTTCAACCCAAAAACTAGAGACAAAATATTATTTTTTATATCTATATATATAAAGAAATGTTCACTCCCTCTTGGGAGTGCCACCTCATCAAATAGGAAAAGGACTGCTTGCCACGTGTCTCTTCTACTACGCGAGTTTGGGTTTGTTACACTTACAATCTATTGGGCTTTCACATAAACACTAAGTGGGTTTTTTATTTGGTTATTAGGTTTTGCCAAAAGTCAATAACGAACGGACTTAGAGAGACCTATCTTGAGATACGATACTATTCTCCAAGAAGGGTATGAACTCATCACAGAGTTCGCATCTCGACCAGCACGCAACATGAAACTAATGTATGTACCCATGCCTTGGCTTCTTCCAATAGCTGTGGTATTCTACAACTCTTCTCCCTCCCCTCTTTGTGTTGTCATTATGCCTCCATCTGTGTTGCTACGAAGTTATTGAAAGTTTCTCTCATAAAATATTTAGCCTTTATGCATCATCAATTGAACTAAGAGCTATCTAATGTAATCTATTGTCTATAGGTAGGAGATCCGTGCCTCAACAAGCTCCATGAGTCAGTTCCTAAACCCCTCAAATTTATTTGTCCTCATTATGGAACTCTTAAGGATTGTCATAGAAAAAATGGCGGAGTCTGATCTAAAGATAGTCTTTTGACAATTTAAGAAACTACCACCCCTTTCTCTCTGTGTTGTGTATAGATTAAGGATCGAATTTCATGTATTTGCAGAAATTGCTGGCTAATATACTGTGTGTCTGGCCTGACCATGTCTGCTGAGAGCTGTGATGCAATCACAAAGCAAATTCTTTGGTTAGGATAGGATTTGAAAATAGTTAAAAGTATTTTCAGATATCTTCTGTGTTATGCCTGCATCTGATCAGTTTCTTCTTCCGAGAATGTAGTTGTTATGTGATTATTTAATAATTGCTTGACATTGGTTTTCATGAATCAAAGAAAAAAGGAAAATTGTTAGATATGTACTCTGCAAAACTAAGATGCCTTTGAAATTGATCCTCTTTGCTTCGTTGTTCTGTTTTGATTCAGCTAAGTAGTAACTAGACAATATACCATATTCTAAAAAGCAATAACAATTAGAAACACACACAAAATACAATTTTATATAATAAAATAAATAACCAATAAACACATAAATTTATTTTGAAAATAACTGAAATATTTAAAAATCTGGCGATAACCCCTAGACTTGAATTTGTGTGTATGCAATATTTCAATTCATGAAACAAATATATAACTAAGAGAAAAAATAAGTTCAATTTACTTGCTCCAATCGATGGTAATTTTCAAACATTTATGGTAGTTATTAGTATAGTTAAACTATTATAGACATTGAGACAAGTTGAATGATTACATTTTTCTAAAAAAAATATTATAGTTAGAGTATATAATTTTAAAAATGTATAGTAAAACAAATAGTTAAAATTGTTTAAAAAAATTATGAACTGATCATTAATTAAAACTAAGATTCAAAAATAGTTGGAAAACTATTAAAATGATAATTTAGCATGACTATCAAGACAACTAAAAAATTGTAAAAAAAAAGTGATCAAAATGCAAATCTACGCTACTGTTTCCAATAAAATATCTGGAATACCCCCAAATTTATTATTCGAATAACACAGAGATATAATGAAATCAAAATATAATGTTTATATCTTTAAAAAATAGAACATTATAAATCACATGAAGAAAAAAACACTGCAAGATAAATTAAATGAAAATACTTAAACAGAATATACCTTACTCATGTTTCAGTTTCCGTGTTGAAAAAATGGGTCAGTCACATAAGATAATGAGGTTGTATTTTGTTAATCAAATAAACACAATACTAATAAATTAAAATAATTAAAAATGAAAAAATGAAAAAATATTTGTTTGAAAGAAAAATTAAAACAAATCGCATTAATATAAAAACAATTGTTAAGCTGTAAAATTAAATAATAAAAAGAATATTCTGCATAAAACGAGTAACATAATATAAAATAACCTGCCAACGGAAACAACAATAATAGTTTAAATCAAACTTTATATGAATGAAATAAACATAAAATATTCACACTTTGAAAATAAAAAATAGCGTAATAAATTTTAACATTGTGAAATTTAGTTAGTGGCAACGAATTAAGGTTGAATATCATACCATCAAATGTGTTTAGCCATAAAACTTGATAATCATAATAAGAAAATCAAAGAAAAAAACAATTTAAAAATAATATATTTTATTTTTCTAATAATAAACATAAACTTTTAAAAATATCTAATGTTCATTAGTGTTTTGTAATTTAAAATTCTATGTGTAATATTAGTTTATTTATTCGCCCGCCCGTAGGGCGGGTTTACCCTAGTTTTCCTTATAAATGAAAGAAATCTAAATAGATACATTAAAATAAAAATCATCTATACAATAAAGTTTAAAAAAAAATTAAGAAAAAATATAGAAATTTATTGAGCTGGTCTTATGGAGAATTCAGTTACCATTTAGTTTTATCCATCGAACTGACATACATCTATGCATCTTCAACCGTCACAAGCTTGTATTAGATTTCTTAGATTAAGGGTGTTTGGTGGGTTAGGACTGGCTTTATCCTCTTGTTCTTAGTGGTTTAATTAGGTGTTATAAGAGGCCGTTCACGCAGAGTTAGAATGAATTTTGATACATTGTCGTTAGAAGAATACAATGAAAGTTAGTTAAGGTAGTGTAGGAGCAACTCAAATGGAGATTTTTCAACATGAAGTTTTCAAAATACATATATACTAGGTGATTTTTCCCGTGCTCATGCACGAGTATGAATATTCATAAAAGTAAAATTTTATAATAATTGATTGATATTTAGTTTTAGTTTTGAATCAATTAATATGTATAATTTATATTAATAAATATTATATTATTCTAATTATACATATGACTTGGATATATTATTGTCGATTTTATTATTTTTGGATTAAAAGTCGGGTTGGTTATCAATTTGGCATATTGGACAATATCTATTTTTTCAAGTTCAACTATAATATTTTTTATTCTAAATATAATTATATTTTGATTAATTTTCTTATTTTCATTTCGGTTGGTTATTGTCTTAGATATGTAAATATATTCTTAGATATGTAAATATACTATGGTTAAATTATGTATAACTTAATATATATTGTGCTTAAAATGAAATAAATAATAAGCTGAAGTGTTTGATTCAAAATTACATAAATGAATATAATGATAATATTTTGAAGTCTCATGCATATATATAAATTCTACAAAAGAATTAAATTGTAACTGGTTAATATTTTATTTTTATTTATAATATGCTTTGAGTCAAACTTTAATTTATATGTATAAAATTAAATATATTATTATTATTATTATTATTTTATTTTTATTATTATTATAAATTATATGTTCTTATTGTAGTTAGATGTTTAATTTTGGATATAACTTAGATTAGCCGAGTCATTCATTTTGTGAGTATATTGAGTTAAATATTTTTTTAAATTAAAATTGAAGTATAATTACTTTTTATTTTAGTTAAGTCAAATCAAATTAGGTTTATGTATCTCTTAAGTATACATGTATTTCCTAATATTTATTTACTCTTTATTTTAGTTAAGTCAAATCAAATAAGTTTTATTTATCGCTTAAATATACATGTATTTTCATAATATCTATCAAATTATATGTTGATTTCTAAAAAAAAATATTAGAAAATAAAGTGTAACTGATAAATTTTTAGATGTTCATGAACATATATATTTTTATTATTTTGAAAATATATTTTATGTTATTTAAAAATATATATGAATGGGGATATTACTATATTATGAACTTTCCTTTTTAATAAAGTCATATTATAGACATATAATTTCGTTTCTAATTTTTTTAAAAAAATTTAGAAATATTTTCTTTTTGTTATATATGTTATTTGGAAAAAGGTAAAAAAGAAACTAAATAAAATGAAATTGATAATAATATTAAAATCTAACAATTCATTAAGGGTATCTATGTAATTAACCATCATGAGAGTTAACGTGAGAGCGACACGTAAGAAACTGACTTCTCAAATAATATTATAGAGATATATAGATATGTATATATATATATATAAATATAAATATTTAGTTATTGGTATTCCAATCTAGCCGAATTTTCGGTTTATATTTTAGATGGAGAAATTTATATTAGGTCTGTTATGAGATCCTTTGAAATGTTTCTAAATGATATTAAATCGTTTATTGATTTAGTGGTTGAATCTTTATTGTGGTGGAAATTTTTTCCGTTGTTATTACATTTGTGATGTTTGTGTGTGGTTAATGGCTCTAACCCCAAACTGGATATATCTGTCCACACAAGATCTCACCTGAAATATTTTTGGAGGATGACTAAAATGATATCATAGCTTATACAAATGTTATAACTGTGAACACTTGGAAAGAAAATGTATATGGTTTATTCTTGTTCTAAGATGATATAAACCAACGGGGTATCTAAAAGTCACTAAAAGTAATGTTACGTACTTACTGGGTGTGCATAACAATATAACATGATTAACATCATTGATTAAGAATATATAACGATTAATAGGTACAACTTATTCATCATTCAAAGCTATAACAAGAATTTTCGTACAAAAAAAAGTACATAACAAGGAAAAGCACAAAGCATGTTAAATCACCGTTTCGAATGGTGGCAACATATCAATACAACATGTTTCTAGCTTTTGCTAGAGTGGGCTTCGAAAAGATGTTATGATGGTAGTACAATTAAATCATATATGTAGAGTATAAACTCAACAACATTAACCACATATGCATATGTTTGGCTCTAAGTGGATGGATACATGTGCTTCTTTGCATTGAGAAGCGTTTAGTACGTGATCAAAGATTCTAATGTGGTCAAAGTCAAAGCTCTTGGTCGTTTCTCTTATACACTACAAACTAAAATATCCATTTGTATGTGATAATCATAGTCAATAATGTGTTCACTCTGTTAATGGGGTCTTTTCATTTTTGTCTTGATCATTGTGGTGTTTATATGAATACAAGCACAGTGAAACTCAATTATTTTTGGGGACATCTCCATTACAAATTTTCCTTCAACAGCTTGATTTTTTGTTTCTTATGTATTAGGGTGGACATTTTGGGTTTTCTTATTCAGATTGGTTAATTCACTTTCGATAGAACATAAGGTTAACTCAAACCAAAATTAGTACGGTTTCAAACTTATGAATGAAACTCATACTTGTTTTACTTATGCATTTTAATATAAAAGTTTTTACAAAAGAAACAAAAAACTCAAAACTAAAATTAGTACAGTTTGGATTTTGTTGGGTTAGTTTGATTTAAAGCGGTTGAGTTTCCATTTAATTTGATTAAATTAGTGGACGTTAACAAACTTTTCGTTATATTTAAACTATTGTTTTGATGTTTTCACCAATGAAAACTATAAAATACCACAACATGTATATTTCCAAACAAGCGTGGCTTGTAAACTGAAAGTTAGACTCGGCTAAGTCTTCTCAAAATATTGCTAACATTTTGAGTTAATTAATATTGGATGCAACATAACGAGTTACTATATAAGCAGTGTTTAAATATATAAGGTAGACTGGAGTTTTTGTATTGTGTATTGCATGGAAATGAACAGTTAATGATAAACAGTGACATGTGTTTAGTAGTAAGATCTTTGGTAGCATAGCATCGCTGTCTCTCTCACTCTCAACGACAACATTTAATACTTGAACGGTTGTATTTATATAAAAACAAATAAGCATAGAGTATTTGCATCTCCTACACACCAATTTCCCCCTAATTCATTAGCATATTGTACTACTTATAAAGGGGGTGTAATTAATCATATGAAGTTAACAATAATACTAGTAACTTGGTAAATATTTTGGCAACGATAATAACTACAACATCTTGCACCATGAGTAAAACAAGTGGTCCAACACCAAGAAACCCGCTCAACGTTCCTCCAAGTTATTATTCATTTCAATGCTAGTACTTGTTTGTTTTTTTACTGTATATATATATAAAGACTTGACCTAACGGTAAAACTGTGTGTGTATCAAGAACACAAATATTATTAAGTAATCTCGTGTGTTGAGTTGTACTTGTTATCACATGGCAAGAACCTCATGTGAGGACATGTGGGTACTGTTCAATTATATCTCTCAAAAATTTTCCTTCAGTCAAACTCATTGCCTCATTACAAATCCACATCTACCATTTTTTAAAAAAACATAGATCTCTGATAATATAAGTAGATCAAATCATGGATTACTAAAAATAAATAAATGACTTAACTTAATTATGATAATTCAATGTATCTTCCGGTCGATGTGTAGTTAATATTTAAAATGCGATTTTGCATGTTCATATCATCTAATCTCCCATCTTCTTACAGCTCTGTAACTTGTCTGCCTCTTCTGTTTCCATCTCAACGTGTCCATGTGGTCTTACCTCATTACCTCTCTCTCACTCTTTTTTGTATATATTATCCTCATCATTACTTTCTGAATCTCCACTCTTCTCTCTCTCTCTCTCTCAAAGTCCACTTGCTTTGTCTGTCACTTACACATTGTACGATCATGGTATTAGCGGAAACAGAGACAATGGCGGAGGCCACGATGGTTTTCACGACGGAGGGACCTCGCATTTCCTTCTCCGCCGACTTGTCATCATCAGACAGCGAGGGAGATTACATCTGCATCAACCCTGAGAATCTCCTGATGAGTAAAGAAGAACAAGTCAAAGCAGGAGAGTCCTTTGAGTTTCTCTCCAACACGCAAACGATGCTTACAGCCGCCGACGAGCTTTTCTCCGAAGGAAAGTTGCTTCCTTACTGGCAAGTCAAACACTCAGAGAAGCTTCAGAACGTAACACTTAAAACAAAAGTCGTCGTCGTCCAAGAAGAAGAAGATTGTAAAGTGGTTAAAGAGGAGACTGTTAAGGAGCAGGAGAGTAATAACAACAATAACAACAGAGGAAGCTGGTTTCTTGATGATGATCCATCTCCTCGTCCACCAAACTGCACTGTTCTGTGGAAAGAGCTTTTGCGGTTGAAGAAACAGAGGACTAACAAGACGGCGACTACGACTACAAAGGCTTCGGCATCGTCTCTGTCTCCATCGTCATCTTCAAGCTCGACTTCGTCTTCTTCGAGTTCTATTGGGGATGCAGTGAAGGAGGAGAGCGAGAAGAAAGGGAAGAAAGGGTTAGAGAGGACAAGATCTGTGACTATGAGGATAAGACCAATGATTCATGTTCCTGTTTGTACTCCTTCTAAGCCTCCTCTGTTTCCTCTAAGGCTTCATAAAAACAGGGTAGAGAAACGAACTTGATCATCATCAACATCGTTTTATCTGTTTGTTTTTGTATTATCTATAGCTTTTGTGATTAGATGTATTGTTTGTTTTTTGTTGAGAGCTTTTGTGATTGAGATCTGAGGTGTGACAGTTTATAAATGTGAAGACATTTTCATACCCGAAAACAAATAAGAGATTGATCATTGAATACACCCATTTATATGCTTTTCATCTCATTGTCTTTGTAGATTCAAAGTCTTTTTTCTTTTTGTGTTTCTGTCTGTTTCTAAGTTAAAAGTTTTATTGGGTTAGATCAAATCTTTGGTTTAGAATTTGAGATGGTTCCTTAGTTTAAGATCTGAAAAAAAAAGGTGAGAAGAGACAAAAAAAGAGTTAAATGCCAAAGATAAGGAAAGAAACAAGAAAGCAGAGAGTACAGTTATGTGCACATGCAAGTTTCAGATGTTTTTGTTAGATCCTTTTCTCTGAGCAAAAATCCACCAAGTGACTGCTCAATTTTTATGGGAAAGGGTCCACTTCTGCAAGGCTTCAACTCTGGCCTAACGTTTATAACCCAATATCAAACTAATCCCTAAACATCAAATTCATAATATTCAATCTTGTTAGATCATATATAAATATGACTCCAATTATTTGCAATGCCACGCTGTTTTCTTTCATTACACAACAATACAGAAACAGAACAAAGTATGGATGAACACAAGACATATAAATAAGTATGTGTAGTGTCTTATCATTGGATCAGTATTCTCCAATCGTCGTAAGAATGAAACAGTAGTTTACTATGCAGATTTACACACAAGCTACCAAACAAATCACAAAACCTCAAATCTGGTGTGGCACAGAAAAAAAGAAGAATTAGTCTTTGCCTTAGACAAATTGGAACGCTATCAAACAGTTCAAGATGAGATATAATATAACTTTGATCGGATGGTTTTGTGACTTATCTAATTAAGTATTGGTTTCTAAAGAATTTTATTTTGGATTTGGTCCATTAGATTGTTGTTTTGCAAGAATTCGTAACACAGGAAACAAACATATACAACGATAACAATGTCAATGGTCTCTTTTGAGAGCAAAGAAACATACCAGCAATATGCACGTCGATCAATATAAATAGTATAACAACGAGTAAATGGCATGCTTAAGAATATAAATACATGTGGTTAAGGATTGATGCAAAAGTTCTCTTACCATGCATGTATACACCATTGAATTCCGCAATGTTGATATTCTGATACTCCTGCGCAGAAGAAAAAAAAAAGAGAGGAGAGTATGTAGAAAAGCCCTAAGGAAAATGGGAAGAAAAACACAGAAAAAATTGCGAAACATGAATCAAAGTTTGAACACAAGACGACACTGAGGTAACTTGGGAAGTCTGAACACACAAGACACTAGGTCACTTGGGAAGTTTGAAATCAAGGCCAAACAAGGCATTGGGTCATTTGAGAAGTCTGGAACCAAAACATCTAGAAGTATCACTCCTGAATTTAATTAACATTCAAGTTTATACCTAAGCTCAAGTAGCTCTGCTATTGGGAATCAGTGGTTCTAAAACGCGTGCGATTTGCCGCATAGGCGCCCGGCTAGGCGTTGGGCGTAACCACACCACCACGACTTTGATCAAATCGGTTAAACTAATCGGTCAACGCTTAATTGGTCAAAAAGACCGATTAATCACTTGAAAACCGAATTAAAACCGATTTAAGCAATAAAAAACTGAACTTATTGTCAAAATTGAGCTTTATATCAAGTCCATATGACTGCCGAGAATTGCTAGACATCGACCACCTATTTATAAGATGCTCCAAATCCCTCGTCTCACTAATAAAAGCAAAAAAAAATGCTTTATGGAAGAATCGAAATTGCCACCTCTCTGAGAATTATATGACCCTCATGAACCATTGGACCATACTACTTTTACATGTAGCGTTCACATATATAAATAACTACTTATACATTTATAATAAAATATTTTTAAAATTAATCTCCGATTAATCTTCGATTAATGAATTAGGCGCTAGTCCCAGTCCGAGTACTCGACTAACGCCTAACAAGTTCTTTATCAAGGGTATGCTTATATGAGTAAGATAAAGCTATTATTGTGGCTGACAAATATTTTATTTTATTTTTTGTGTGAAATGGAAACACAAATTGCAAGTAACATGTGTATAGACACCAGCTAGCATCACTCACTATACATTGACCGAGCTATCTTTATATTTGCCGACTTTAGACCTGACCTATAATATTCTTATCTTGATCCCATATAACCAGACTAAAACAACAAAAATTAAGATACTTTACATGATGGCATTGAGAGAAAAACGGAAAGATATATGTTATTGAGTTCCACATTTCATAATGAGCTATCAATATCCTAACAAAATTCCTTTATTAAGTATCGCTTCTTTTTTCCCTTTGTTTCATCAAAGTTAGAAAAGCGTGCTCGTGTCTCCGAAGTTTTCATTTCCATGTGGTCGCCAATCTATAAAGAAATGTTCATCATCTTATCTTTTAATATATTTAAATTAAAGAAATGCTTCTTTCTTCTATCGTATATCATCTTTGATATTTTATTCACACTTTTAAACACGTCTCCTTTGTGGCAGACCACCAAAAGTCCAAAAGCCTACTTGTTATCTTTTTTATAAATATCAAAAATAATAATTGACTAAACCATGTTAAAAGAAAATAAAAACCGAAATTTAGCAAAAGTGCACAACCTCGACTCCTTTCGTCGTAGGACTAGACTAGTCTATCTTTTCAATGTTCCGCTACACAGGCGTCATTTAGCAAATGCTCGTTCACGGCGTCTAGCGCAAATTAGCACTATGTGTGGCTAAAAAGATTTCGAAATAGGAAAAACAAAACAATTTTTTTTAAACGAATTTCGAAATTTATTTTCCCTGAAAAAAAACTAAAACATAAAATAAAAAATAAAGTCGTTTTTCGGAAATACCAAAACTACCCCTGATCTCTTTTTTCTGTCTGGATTGATTTCAAAACGCTCCTCTTCTCTGATCTCCGCATCGTCTTCTGCCTCGAGAACTCGTGAAACGATGGAGCAACAACAACCGGAGAGACGAGAAGGCCGAAGCTTCCCCGAGCGCAAAGGACAGAAGAGAAAGCTAGAGGAAGGAGCAGCCGCCGCCTCAGAAGATCGAGAGATCTCCTCTACCTCAACCACCGACGGTGGCGGCGGCGATTCGATTCTCAACGAAATCGCTACTCAAGTCTCCGTCCTCAACTCCGCCTTCTCATGGCAAGAATCCGATCGCGCTGCGGCGAAACGCGCCACTCAAGTCCTTGCCGAGCTCGCTAAGAACGGTGAGGATTCAGCTTCCTCCGATCTTGTTGCCTTCATATCTTTTATCAAGTTTTGTGTATACATGAGTTAGTGACTAGAGATTGTTTGAACAGAGGATTTAGTGAACGTGATTGTTGATGGAGGGGCTGTTCCTGCTCTTATGACGCATCTACAGGCGCCGCCGTCGTGCAGCGACGGAGACTTGGCTCAGAAGCCGTTTGAACATGAGGTTGAGAAGGGAAGCGCGTTTGCGCTTGGCCTACTTGCAATTAAGGTGTTAACTTGTATAGTGTGTTAAGCTTGTTTGAAAACAGTTGCTTTTTATGTTAATTTTTTGCTTTAAGTTTAGTATTTATTTTGTGGAGAAATACTTTTGGTAATTGAGATTTTATAGACTGAGGGGATTATGTTTAGTGTTTGTGATGTCGTTGTGGAATTGACTGTTTACAGCCAGAGTATCAGAAGCTGATAGTGGACAAAGGTGCTTTACCTCATCTTGTGAATCTGTTGAAGAGAAGCAAAGATGGTTCTACTTCCCGAGCTGTTAACAGTGTTATCAGAAGAGCGGCTGATGCCATCACCAATCTTGCTCATGAAAACAGTAGCATCAAGACTCGTGTTAGGTCAGCTTATTTTAGTGAATTCCTCCTGTTAAGATTTTTTTTGTTTTGTTTTCAGTATCCTCATGACTTCAAGTTCTTGACAAGCAGGCTTGAAGGTGGTATTCCACCTCTTGTGGATTTGCTTGAGTTTTCTGATTCAAAGGTTCAGCGAGCAGCAGCAGGGGCATTGAGAACCCTTGCGTTTAAAAACGATGATAACAAGAACCAGGTAAATGTTTCTGTCTTACAGCTTCTGTTTCAGTTTTCGGTTGAGAATGATTCGTTTTTGTGCAGATTGTTGAATGCAATGCTCTTCCCACGCTCATTCTAATGTTAGGATCAGAAGATGCTGCTATACATTATGAAGCGGTTAGGAATCTTTTACTGTGTCGAGAGTTTTCATAATCAACTGTTTTGCTAGTTGCTACTTAAACATCTACATGAGATTGTCATTTAAATAATCAGTTGAGTCACTCTTTTAGGTTGGAGTTATAGGCAATCTAGTACATTCTTCTCCAAACATTAAAAAAGAGGTTCTTTCTGCTGGGGCGTTGCAACCTGTCATTGGTCTTCTCAGGTATGGAAACTCGCCATTTCGATTGACATGGGTAAAATATAGAGTTGTTACCGTTAACTTTAGGTTCATTCTTCTCATTTCTTGAATTTATCTATTTCAGCTCATGTTGCCCTGAGAGCCAAAGAGAGGCGGCTTTATTACTTGGACAGTTTGCCTCGACTGATTCTGATTGTAAGGTACTATTTCATCCCGGGTTTTCTATCCTCAGCCTAAACTCTTTCTGTTTGGTTATACTAGGTGTAATTTGTTTGCTGTTATTGATTTTTTTTGTAATGTATACATTCCTAATTCCTGCCGTCTATCATTTTCCCTGATCTATGTGTCTTTTTCATTCTTCAGGTGCACATTGTGCAAAGGGGTGCTGTCCGTCCTTTGATTGAGATGCTTCAATCAGCTGACGTTCAGTTGAAAGAAATGTCGGCCTTTGCACTGGGAAGATTGGCGCAGGTTCTTGTTTTAAACATTTGTTAGTTTCATTTTTTAAGTCGAGGCATTGCTATTTGGCGTTGTAAACTTGCAACTTCACTCTTTAGACTTGTAACCATTGCAGTTATATTAAATAACAGTACCGATATGTCTCTTAAATTCTAGCATACCGTTTCTCGCAGGATTCACACAATCAAGCTGGTATTGCCCATAGTGGTGGTTTAGGACCTTTATTGAAGCTTCTCGATTCAAGAAATGGATCCCTGCAACACAATGCGGCATTTGCTCTCTATGGCCTTGCCGATAATGAGGTGTGTTGTATGCTACCTTCCGTATGTATTAATCAGGATGCAAAAACTTATTTAAACCTCATGAAATGGGTTATTGATCCATTTTTGTCCCTAGGATAATGTGTCGGATTTTATCAGGGTGGGAGGTATCCAGAAGCTACAGGATGGAGAGTTTATAGTTCAGGTATATATAGCGTTGTTACCGTTTCTCTACTTTCCGGAATCATATCGTTTTATTCCTTTTATGGCTAGAGACTGAAGATTCGTAGCAGCTTTAATAGTATCTGTTTTACTCTTTGGGTGTTTATATACACTATTTGCTAGGCAACTAAAGACTGTGTCTCCAAAACACTGAAGAGATTGGAGGAGAAGATTCATGGAAGAGTAAGTGAAGTGATGCCTGTCTTTAAACTTGTTATTTCCATATCTGGTGACTAAAACATACACATGCACGGTTTGTGGTGAACTACTGTTGTATCCTTTTCTAGCTCTGTCGAAGTTTATCATTTCTCTGTTCAACCTTTGAGACTTTTGTTATTTGATCGTCCTTTGTAGGTTCTGAGACATCTGTTGTACCTAATGCGCATTCCTGAGAAGTCTATCCAAAGACGGGTTGCTCTCGCTCTTGCTCATCTCTGTTCACCAGAAGATCAGAGAACGATATTCATAGATGAAAATGGCATGTGACAACTTTTTGATTTTATAATGTTTAAGACTTTTGACGTGTTATCCATTTCTGCTAAGATGTTCTTTGTGTAAAAAGTTTTATATTGAGTTGTCTTTTCGCAGGGTTGGAGTTGCTACTTGGTCTTCTTGGTTCTACGAACACTAAGCAGCAACTAGATGGTGCTGCAGCATTGTACAAGTTAGCAAATAAATCTATGGCACTCTCTCCAGTTGATGCTGCTCCACCTTCTCCAACACAAAGGGTGAGTTTCCTTCTTACGTTAGTTCTCCAGTAGATAAGCTGCGGAAGTTTCATTTGCAGTGTTCTGTTTCTTTTGTTATGGCAGGTTTATCTAGGCGAGCAATATGTAAATAATGCTACGCTGTCTGATGTAACTTTTCTAGTAGAAGGTAATCATATTAATCAGGAAGTTGCAGCAGTCTTGTTAGCTCCAAACTCCGTATGTAAACCAGAAAAATCATACTGCAGGAAGGAGATTCTATGCTCACAGAATTTGTCTGCTGGCATCTTCAGATACATTTCGTGCAATGTTTGATGGTGGTTACAGAGTAAGTGAGCTATTATTTTTGAGTGACCAATCGTTTTCAATATGTTATTGCGGAGGAAATGAAAAAATAACATTTACTAGCTATGATGACTATGACTTATGGGTTTAGGCTGCTCTGTCAAAGGAATATGTGAATATTTATGTTTCGTGTGTGCAAATTGAATATCTCATTCAGTTTGTGTTTCGTTTACACCACAGGAAAAGGACGCTAGAGATATTGAGATTCCTAATATCAAATGGGAGGTTTTTGAGTTAATGATGAGGTATGACGAGCTTCTACGTGTTTCTAGACTGTGGGAACTCTGAATATACATGATAATTGACGCACGCTTGGATTGTGATTCCCAGGTTTATATACACTGGATCCGTCGACGTAACAATTGAGATATCACAAGATCTTCTGAGAGCAGCGGATCAGTATCTCTTGGAGGGGCTAAAGCGGCTCTGCGAATACACAATTGCTCAGGTGAGCCAGAATAACTGCAATGTAGTGTGATGTGGTTTGCATAACAATTGTGGAAATCTAACACAGTTCCTTATGAATGAAAGGATATAACATTGGAGAACATAGGAGGCATGTACGATCTCTCAGAAGCATTCCACGCAATGTCGCTGAGACAAGCTTGTATCTTGTTCATCCTGGAGCATTTCGATAAACTGAGCACAATGCATGGGTAATATAAGCAAGATCTTTTCTTTTAAGCTCTATCTCTCTCTATTTCGCATTTATCTGAGACATAGTGAATGAAAAAATGGCAGGCACAACCAGCTGGTGCAGAGAACAATACCAGAGATAAGAGAGTACTTTTGTAGAGCTCTAACAAAGTCTACGACAAACCTGCAAGGCCTGAGGCTGTAGAATGTGGAAGAAGAAGAAGACTGGCACCTAACTAGAGAGGTAAGTAGACAATTATAGAGAGAGAAAGCTCGCTATTAGAAGAGGTCTTTATGGTTCTGCCCTATCCTATCCTGAGTCGTTTTAGTAAATTTGCTGTGCGTTTGGTTCATTTTGTATTGTATCAAATTCTCTCTCTTCTGATCACAATCGGGTCTTCAAAGAGATCTCGCCACTTTGTATCCAAAACACCATTATGGTGAAACTTCCACTATTCAATTCAAGATCCACGTCCAATGATCATGTGTTAGAAGTAAGTATACAATGTGTGATGATGAGACATGGTCGTGACTAATGAGTTCTTGTCTAAATGATTAATCAGATACTAAAAGAGGAAAATGAATAATATTTGTTCAGACTGGAAAATTTTAAAATTATGTGAGGCACTTACATATACAGACATACAGTATAGTTTCCCATTTGTGATTATTGTAAAAGTATGTAATTGCTACTCTACTATATTGGATGTACTGGCTGGCTCATTCTAAGTAATCTTTGTCGGCAAATATAATCGAAACTTTAAAAGATATCAGAAAAAAAAATTTGTAATATATACCTTGAGAAAATATCCTTTAAGACAACGATTACAACAAAAAAAAAAGAACAAAGCATCAAAGTTGTTCTCTTACAGCAACAAAATCGTAAGTAGCAAAGTGATTGTTCTTGGTCCGTTTGGTGATAATTGTATTTGGTGTGACTGACCATTCCACAGTCAGTAAAGTCACGACTCACGACGTTGTATTATTATTATTACTTTTTATATTTCTTTTGTCTGAATGCTTTTGATGTTCTACAGACTTCGATCCAATTGGAGGGAGATTTTAATTTTAAAAGATCTCCGTTGAATCTTTTATTTAATTATATTTTGCGAGATACCCAAAACAAAACCCTAGGCACTCTTCATCTCGCAGCCAGAGAGCTTCGTTATTCATCCACTCCTAATCTCTCCAGGTAACGCTTTCGCTTTAAATCTCATCGCATACATAGACTCTTGTCGGATCTGATTTGATTCGAGATTAGATCCGTCTTCTAGAAAACCATCCACTAACCAATGTGATTCTTTACACTCACTGTTCCTAATCTCCTCTGTCATAGATTTATACATAGCATCCACTCTCAGTTTTCTAAAGTGTCAATTTTTATTGAAAAAAAAAAAATCATTCCTTTCATTTTTAAAGTTATATTCTTTGTTTGATTACTGTTACATAGAAGCCTCCTTTGATTCATTTTACCTTGTATGTGTATTGCAGTGATATAATCTGTGATCATGGCTGATACACTTGATTCCCGTCCTCACACATTCTCCATCAAACTCTGGCCACCGAGTCTACCCACAAGACAAGCCCTCATCGAACGCATGACCAACAACCTCTCTTCCAAGACCATTTTCACCGACAAGTTCGGCAGTTTAACCAAGGACCAGGCCATGGAGAACGCCAAGAGGATCGAGGACGTTGCTTTCTCCACAGCTAACCAGCAGTTTGAGAGGGAGCCTGACGGTGATGGCGGCTCAGCTGTTCAGCTTTACGCTAGAGAGTGCAGTAAAATGATCTTGGAAGTTCTCAAGAAAGGTCCCGTTGCTAAGGCCTCTGAAGAAGTATCATCTGCTTCTCCTCCTCGTGAAACTGTTTTCGATATTTCGAAAGACAAAAGGGCTTTTATTGAAGCTGAGGAGGCTGAGGAGCTTCTTAAACCGTTGAAGGAAGATGGGAATGGTTATACTAAGATATGTTTTAGCAATAGGAGTTTCGGGTTAGGAGCTGCTCGTGTTGCTGAGCCTATCTTGGCGTCTTTGAAAGGGCAGCTTAAGGTTGTTGATTTGTCGGATTTTGTCGCTGGGAGACCTGAGGTTGAAGCTCTTGAGGTTATGAATATATTCTCTAGTGCTCTGGAAGGTAGTGTTCTCTCATCTCTTAACTTATCAGACAATGCGTTGGGTGAGAAAGGTGTTAGAGCATTTGGGACGCTCTTGAAATCTCTGAGCTCTCTGGAAGAGCTTTATCTGATGAATGATGGTATCTCTAAAGAAGCTGCACAAGCGGTGTCTGAGTTGATTCCTTCAACAGAGAAGCTGAGGGTTCTGCATTTTCATAACAACATGACTGGAGATGAAGGAGCTGTTGCGATTGCAGAGGTTGTGAAGCGTTCTCCATTGCTGGAGAATTTCAGGTGTTCTTCCACAAGAGTTGGGTCAGATGGGGGTGTTGCTTTGTCTGAAGCACTTGAGAGTTGTGCTCGTATGGAGAAACTTGATCTGAGGGATAATATGTTTGGCACAGAAGCTGGAGTTTCTCTGAGCAAAACTCTCTCCAGCTTCAGTCATCTGACTGAGCTTTACTTGAGTTATCTGAATCTAGAGGATGAAGGTGCTATAGCCATAGCAAACGCTCTGAAGGAGTCTGCTTCTCCTATTGAAGTTCTTGAGATGGCGGGAAATGACATAACGGTTGAAGCAGCTTCAGCGATTGCAGCCTGTGTAGCAGCAAAACAAGAACTGAACAAGTTGAATTTGTCTGAGAATGACCTGAAAGATGAGGGTTGTGTCCAGATTGCAAAGAGTATTGAAGAGGGTCATTTGAAATTGCAATACATAGATATGAGCACTAACTACATCAGAAGAGCAGGAGCACTTGCCTTGGCTCAGGTTGTTACTAAGAAAGAAGGCTTCAAGCTGTTGAACATTGATGCGAATATCATATCAGAGGAAGGCATTGAAGAAGTTAAAGAGATGTTCAAGGAATCCCCAGAGTTGCTTGGAGCATTGGACGATAATGATCCTGATGGAGAAGAAGAAGATGATGAGGAAGAGGAAGAAGATGAAGAAAAGGATGAGTTGGAATCAAAGCTGAAGAAGCTTGAAGTTAATGAAGATGATTGAGTCTTTAGTGATGTTTACTTTTCATTGCTTCTTTTGTTTTGTACCAAGGATCATTTTGGCTGATGCTGCTACATACAGAGAGACCAAAAATATTGAGACTTTGGTGTTAGTTTCATTTTGCTGATATCTTATCAAATCCTCTTTTTCTGATATATCTATCTACCTATTAGGCCTTTCAATATATAAAATTGAGAAACATAAACAAAAAAAAACTGATTTTTACTGGATTCAGTTAGCCACACCCCCACCGAATCGTTTGAATCCTATTTGTCCCATTAGATTTCACTGTAGAGCAAGTTCACTACTTGTGATAAAGGGTGTGGCAAAGCAATAGGGAGATTCAAGTTGCATATAGATATCACTGAAGCAAATGTAATGTATATACTCAAGTTGGGGAGATTCAAGTTGCATATAGCATATCATTGAATCAACAACGCTAGTACTGATGAACAAATATAACCAAAATATGAATGTATGAGAGAGTAACTGAGAAAAGCAAGAAACAAAGAAGTTTTCATGGACCTTTACAAACAATATCCCGAAAGCAAAAAAAAAACATCAGATCCTCCTAGCCCTCATAGTAGTAACACTTTTCATCTTGGCACTAGTCACAGCAGAAACATTCATAGGAAGCGGAGGAGGAGGCTTCTTGTTCTCCTTGGTCATACTCCTCAACGAATACCTCGGCGGCTTTGTTGCTGCTGTTGTCTCAGTCTTCTTCTTAATGGTTCCTCTTCTCTTCGCGGTCACAGGCTCGACTCCAAGATTGTAATTAGTTCCCTTGATCACTACAGATTCTTCTCCTACGTTCTTCCTCTTCAATCTCTCGTTCCTCCTGGCAGAATACTCCTCGTAAAGTCTTCCTCTCTCGAACACCGGAGGAGCCGAGTCTGCAGCCAAATCTTCCAGATTCGAAGCTTCACCTCTTTTCCTTAGATCATCCTCTTCTTCACCAAACTCTGACGAGTACTCGATTGGGAGCTTCGGTTCCTTATCTCCATGGCTTAACCTTCGTCCCGGATTCTTCAGACCTAGTTTTTTTTTGTTTGGTGGAAGAGAAGATATTCATCATCATCATCCATTTTATTGATCGGTTACAGAGGATTGATGAAGTGAATACAACATACCCGGTGGTGGTGTTTGCAGTGTCGAAGAAGATGCCTGGCGTGATAGGAGACGGATCGGCGATTTCGGAAGCGGTGGTTTCGATGATCTCATTCTCGACGACATCTTCCTCCTTCTCACAGTTTTGATTTCAAATATTTTCTCGAAAGAGAAAGAGAGAGAGAGAGATTTTATTATCGTTTTTTTTTTTGGAAGAGCGGTCTTTTCTTCATCCGACGGCTGAGATTGCTTGCTTCTAATTCAAAATGGTAAGTGTTTTTGTTTTGTTTTGTTTTGTTTACTTCTTCCCTTTGTTCATTAATATTTAATGTTGAACCGTTCGTTATCTAAACATTACATTAACTAATTAAATAAACTTAATTGGGGGAGGATATACGCATTAATCTTGCTTTATCACTTTTTAGATAACTCTTAAATATAAACGTTGACGTGTGTTAAGAAACTTGCTTTGTTTTGTTTTGTTTTGACTTTTAGGAATACAGCAAACACTGATTAAGAAACTTGATTTTGACTAATAATAATATGATAACTCTTAATACAGATGACAAATGTGTACCTATGTTGCCAATATACACATTAAAATCTTTTGTTATATGACTTTCAGATTAACTCCATCTTGAAGAAGCATACACACAATAATTCGTTTGGACCTCCACTTAACACTGCAATTTATTATTGTGGTGTAACATTTTTATACATTCAAAGTTCTAAAGCACCTACAATTTCATTATTGAAGTCATTTAAATTCAAAGTTGCAAATTTATTGGAGAAAATAAATTCATATATAACGATGATTTTTTATGAGAATGCAACATTTTTTATATTTTCCACAAACTGATTAACGTCCCAAGGAAATGTTTAACAAGAACAAGAAAAAACTTTAGTTTGTAATCCATAGTTTAGTTCTTCTTCATTGTCAAAATGAGTACATGTCTTGGCTTACAAAATTTAATACCGATACTAGGATATAGTATGATTAGAAGAGAAATTAATTCAAACTCTAAAACATCAATTAGGAAAAGCTTTCTCGACATTCATCACCTCTTCTTCATCAATACCTCAAATCTATGTCACACAATAGCTTCTCCATTGACTCTTTTTTTTATCAAGCTTCAACTCCTCTCATTGCCCTGCTAATGGGTTCTTGGAAGTACTGAAGTGATATAAACATTGCTTCCTGCATATTTATTGCAGCAATTTTCTCAGGTCAGTCATCACAGAACATAACAAAAAGATCAGATCCATTTCGCATAAACAAGGAAAGAAACAAAACAGCAATAAAATAATTACCTCTGTTCGAATGGTTCGGCTTCCTTGATGTGGACATGTATTCAAGTATATATTAAACGCTTCTCGAACGTTTTTCCCCTGTAATCATCAAATACAGAACCGAAACAACCCAAAGATCTTTGAGAACTTTTGAATCTCTGTGAGAGATAAAAGAGCTGAATAAAGAGGTTTCTATTGGAACATTCTTGAGGGTCATGGAAACACGTTTACCTTATACTGATTATCTTCTTCAACACTTTCTTCAAGACCAGCAAGTCCTCCAAATGCAATCAATAGATGCCTATGAAAATTCATGCCACAACACCATCTAAGTCACTCCCCCAATGCTAATAATGTGTTTAGAGATAAACAACTTATACCATGTTAGAGGAAAATGAGAATCTCACCTAAATGTTGGTATTTTCAGCTCTGATGAACTAATTTTCAGGCCATGCTCTGAGGTACCAATCAAATAATCGTAACCACCCTGCTTGGTAGTAGGAAATAAATACGATATACAATTCATAGAATGTGATGAAGAGTAGAGTATCATCATTAGGCGTAGTACCTCGAAAGGGCATTCCTTGAATACTGAACTTAGGTGTGATGCATATCGTACTTTGTATCCCCAATACATCCCGGCTTCTTCCCTTGGTTTAGAGGATGGAACTATCTGACGTACCAAATCTAGATGAACCAAATCCAAAATTTAGTAACTTAAACGAGTAAATATCTCTCCAGGAGGACAAATGAATACGATAACTGAGATTAACAGTACCTAAATCACGGTTGGTTCCCATGGCTACCGTGACTCTAACACCTGGACTAAGCACTTGATCAACAACAACACTCTGCATCACCACGAACATTCAAACAAAAGTCAATCCATGCATACAATTTGTAGGAAAAAAAAAGTGTTACAATTGAGATATCCGAATGTGATAAGAGCTAAAACAAATACCTTGTCTAGACCCACATCAACCAATGTACCCTCAGAGTTTATTGGCTTTTCTCTTAGCGTCACACCTACAAGGTTTTCATTTCCAAAACAAAAATTTAAAACCACAACATCACAGCCTTAAGGCCCTTAACTACAACTAAGAAAGGTAATAGTAGAGCTTGATTCATATATCTCCACACCAGCTTCCTGGTGTATCATATCATATCTCTAAAGATGAAAAGAAGCAAAACAAATCTCATTGGAGATTGGATGTGGAAACATTGATATTTTATTACCTTCACGGAATTGTTCCCACTCGTGCTTACGCAGATGGTGAGGAGCATCAAGAGGTGGCAACATACCCTGTTATATAGATCATACAATTCTGGTTACTGAAGACACTAAAAAATAAAGAGATGAAAGTAACGTTAGTACACACACCACAAATCTAAGATCATTGTGCTTGGGGAAGAGAGTCTTCCTCAAATACTGTGGTGTCTCTAAATACTTCAAGATACGAACGAGAAATGGGGCCCCACTTTCATTGCTATCAGATAAGTTGATCTCTGAGCTGCTGCTCTTATTGTCAAACACTACAATCTGATTCAAGCAAACAAACAAACAAAGGATTTGAACTCAGCACCTTTTTTTCGTAGTTTTTGATGCATTCATTTTTAACAACGTACCTCGTCGATTCGAAAAATTGTGGATGCACGAGCAATTTGGCCAGCAAGCTGATAAAATTTAAGTCAAGTTAATGAGTTCCCTTTTAATTGCTAATAGAAATTTAAACTTGAGTGGAGAGAAAGAGAGGGAAGAGAGGTTACACGTGTCGCGAGCTCGAGTGATTGAGTGTTGTTGATGATGGAACCAGCTATGGCTATAGTAACTGTAGGCCTTTCTTCGTGTTTCTTTTCTTCTACATTTTGCTTCTTCTCCTCCTCCTCTTGGATTATCGTTTGCTCCTCCTCTTCCTTGCTTTTCTTCTTCTTTTTTTTCTTCTCCTTTTTCGCGTCTCCGTCGAGACTCACCTTTTGCTCCGAATCGTCATGGCTTCTCTTCTTCTTCTTCTTCTTCGTAAAGTCACCGTCGATTCTTTCAGTTAGCTCGGGCTCTAATTCGAGCTCAGGGTCGTCATGGCTTCTCTTGCTTTTCTTCCCCATTTCTGCCGCCGGCGATTGAAATTCGAGCGGCGAATTTCGCAGGGTTTATGTGGTTTTGGGTTATTACTCGATTCATGGGCCTCTATTAGCTTAATTGATTGGGCCTGGCTTCAAACCTACTCCCTCCCTTTCAAATTATATGTCATTCCAGAGTAAAATTTTCATTTCAAAATAAGTGTCGTTTTATAATTCAAATGAAAAATTTATTGATTTTAAATGTTATTCTATTTTTTCATTGGTTAAAAAGTGGTTAGGTGTATAGGTAATTGTGTTTTTATTTTTAAAATATGTAAAATTAATTGTTTTCTTAATCTATGTGCAAAACTCTAAAATGACAATTAAATTGAAACGGAAGGAGTATTAATTAATTATAGTTTTGGCTTCAAGCCGAAAATTGATTGTGTATATTTTTAACACTTACCAGTATTTAATAAATGTTTCATACTCCAAATGTTTAATTTGTTTTGAATGGTCAATTGTTTTACTCGTTTATATGTATATTACTTTTGTTGGTTTTGCACTGAAACAATAGATTTATAAAAATATGTGAAATAAAAATTATTTTTCTTTTGGTAAATTTTTTTTTGTTATAAGAAATTATTATTTATATGTAGATTATATATTTTTGGTCGCATAAAACATTAAAAGAATACCAATTCCTCGGCTAGGACCATCTTAAGTATTTTCCTCTGTAATAAATGTTTTGTTTCCACGAACGAAGCATTTTTACTTGAATTTGCCATTCAATTAGAAATTGTTGACAATTTTGAGAAGAGTAAAATTTGTTAATGAAAAGATTGACATATTTTTAAGGGCAATTCTCTAAAATAGTATTTCATCCGTTTCGAATTATATGTCATTCTAAAAGAAAATTTTCGTTTCAAAATAAGTGTCGTTTTAGAGTTTCAAGACAAAATGTATTACGTTTATATGATATTCTATTTTTCTATTGGTTGAAAAGTGGTTAGGTGTATTGGTAATTGTGTTTTTATATTGAAAATATGTAAAATTAAGTGTTTCCTTAATATGTGTGTAAAAACTTAGAATGACAAATAAATTGAAACGGAGGGAGTATTCTTTTAAGTTTTTATCACAAAAATAGACCTCAACAATTAAAATAACCAAAATAACACTTTTTATTTTGAAAATTTTAAGTTTTCTTAATTTTTTAAAATTCGAAACTTTATCCCCAAAACCCCACTTCTCAACTCTAAACAAAAAATCTAGGATTAGTTAACCCAAGGGGTATAAATGTATATTTAATAAAACATTTAAGTGTTATTTTGGTCATTTTAATTGTTAAGGTCTATATTTGTGATAAAAAAAATTTTAGGTTTATTCTATTCATTTTCTCTATTTTTAATTTATGTCATAGTATATAGGAATGGGAAATGAATATTCTGGTTGATCATACAAGACTACCAACTATATTTGAAAATTAATACCAACTGAACTTTTAAAGTGTGATGAGTATGTACTTTATATCCCCACTACATTCCTGCTTCATCACTTGGCTTAGAAGACAGAACAATCTGGCGTACGAAATCAAGATGAACCAAAATTCATTAACTTAACGAGTAGAATATCTCTAGGTGACAGGTTTTTCTGAGCGCAATGAAGGCAAATGAATACTCTGTGGTTGTGCGTTCTTACTGTATTCATGTGACTATTTACATAAATCAATTGGGGCTGTTATACAGCCTAGTTGGTAACGTGGTTTTTCAAGTACAGCTAATTAATTGTACGTTACGTTGTTATGTGAACCCATTCTTTACTATTGATTTAAATCTTACGTTCTGTTTATTCTTTAACCATTATGTTAGTCGATGTTTATGATTTAACCACAACGAAAAGAACGACATAACTCTATCAATTTATCAGATGGTTGACCTCAGTTTGAATATTAGTTTAAAACTATCAATAGTTATTTTCCCGGAATTTTCTCAGAGTGATACAGAATCTTAACAGTTTATTAATGCCCGACCATTCATTGGTTTTAAGTTAACCATGTGCTACGAAATAACGAAACCGTAAATAATTGCTTGCCAGATGGCATCACACCATTGGATAACAACAACACAATCCCCAAGGAGTTATACAACACTAAGCTCTGCCGTCAACGGCGGCGCCTGACTCCCGTTTCCTCTCCGATCGGCTCTTGAGCCACGTCAGAATATCACCGTAAACCAGATCAACGTCCTCCTCCGATTCGCCAACCATCTGATGCCACATCCCCGGATAGATCTTGATCGTCTTATCCACACTACTCGCTCTCCGATGAAGCTCCTCAACGCACGCTTGATCACAAACAACGTCTCCTCCCCCATGCACTATCAGAAGCGGAACCTCCACCTCCTCAAACCTCCCCTGAAGCTCATTACAAATCCGAATCAACTCATAAGCCGTTGCCGCGCGCGGCCTCGCAACCGTCCTCCTAGGACTAGCGATCGCGAGCTTCCTCTTCCACGGCGTCTTGAAAGAAACATCGGGGATCGATCCGCGAGTGGGGATGACGCGCCAAGTGGGGATGAGATTCGCAACGACGAAGAGTAAATGCTCTAACGGCCACGGAGGTTTGAATTTCGCGCTGATTCCACACATGGCGCCGTTGAGGATGAGTCCGTCCCACACTCCTCTCTGACGGAGGGAGATGTAGAGCGCGATGGCTCCGCCTAAGGACTCGGAGTAGAGGAAGCAAGGGAGGTTGAGATTCTCCCGACGGTTACGAAAATCATTAAAGAAGGAGATACAGTCATCAACGACGGGGTTGATGTCAGGGATGTGCGCGACGAGTCCGTCGGAGAATCCGTGCCCCTGGTGATCGATCGCGCATGTGATGTAGCCGGATTTCGCGAAGAGGATGGACGTGAGCTGGAGGAACCAGCTGGATTCGCCGGTGAAGCCGTGGACGACGGCGATGATTCCGATGGGGGGAGTTGGAGGGAGTGGGGACCACCATTGTGTGAAGAGCTTGAGGCCGCGGGGGTTGGTTATGAAGGCGGAGGAGTGGGTGACGGAATGTTTCGCGTAGAATTCGTCGGCGGAGAGAGAGCCGAAGGGGCTGCGTTCGTCGGCGTCGGCGATTGGATGAAGACCCATCTCTCGAGAAAGAATCTGTTAGGGGAAAGGGTTTGGGTAAGCGTTGAGGATTAAATGGGGTTTTTATTTAATGGGGGGATTGGATCTGGTGGTGTAGGGTCATGCTTTTAGTGTGGACGTGCGAACTACCAGCTGATCTTTGGGCCCAGTTCTTTATTAACTTCAAATCTTTTATAGGTGTTCAGTTCATTTTCTTTGAGGATCTGGTTAACCAATATGATTGGGTCGATTTTTTGGTTGAGGTAGTAGGATTTGATGATAAGGAAATCCAAATAAATCGGAATTTGCTATATTTTAGTGTCTGTTCCATTCCATCTGATCTATATCTCAATACTTGTTTAGTCATGGCTGACCAATGTAAAAATAGGAACATCTGTCTCTTTCTTTTGTAGGCTTTGAAAACTGAAAGATAACATCTAATCGTGGTCGAGAAAGAGACAACTTGAAGTTTGTTAATATGTGGATGATTAGTTGTACACTAGAAGTTTAGCTGTCTAACTTATTTTGTAATTGATTTGAACGTAGCTGTAAATTTATTGATAGAGATTTTTTTAGAGAATTTTACTGTAATTAGTTTAGTTATATATATGTAAGTTTTGGGCTGTAAATATTTTAAAATGAATATACATTTTACTATTTTAATGTAATATACAAATGACATTTATGTTATTTCAAATTAATATTTTATAAAATTATTCAAAAGTAAAAAAAACTTATGTATAAATTTTAATTTTATAGTAAAATCAATATCTGAATAGTAATAAAATTTTACTCATAATTATCTAATTTATCTGATATTACACATGATTTTTTTTTTCAATAAAAAGATGTGTTCTTCTCAAAAAAAAAGATACTAAAGATGTAAGATTTTGTCTAATTTGAATAAAAAAAATAGTTTTTTTTTTGTTGTAATTTGAAAATAAAACTAGATCATAATTTGCAAAAACTACTAGAGCTTTGATATAAGCTTTCAATTTCAAATCTGAAACTAAATAGTGATTAGGAAAAATAGTTTTTAAAAAAATGAAAAAAAAAAAAATTGAGATAAAGACCACTTTTACTAGTGATTTTTCAACTTTCTGTATACTCTCTAAACCCTAAATTTATAAGGATTTAAGAGGTGTAGATAACGCTATACTGGTCTTGTGAATTCCTTGTTATCATCTTACAAAATTTAACGTGACGTTTGGTCATGTTTAAGGTTTTGACTTGTGACTAGTCTATGCAATTACTGATTTGAAAATGAGTTTAACCTGAATCAGTAGACGCAATGTGTTGTGACTGTATTTGTATTTTACATTTTCTGTTATTGTAAATATTACTATACTGATTTGTTCTTTTCTATTTAAAATATTACTAACTTTTATGAGTTAAACAGGCATGAAAACATTTGAACCACATAAATATGAAACATGTCGCAACGACAAGGAATGCAGGCACATTGTGCTTCTCTCGATTCAATTTTGGGGGATTTTGTTTAGTACATGAATCTAGTGGTGTTTTTTGTTGCTGCAAGCTACAATCTTCAAGTCGTCATGTGTCCACTCCTGTAGTTAATCTTTAATTAACCATGAAACTATATATATATATATATATATATATATATATATATATATATCCTCAACTATGTGAAAAAAGCTCGATATTTTTACATTATCTCATGCAAAGTTGCAAACTGCTGCAGGTTCGTCTAATAATATGTGTACTTGGAACAGTCGAACAGAACCCCAAATATAAAAATAATAAATTAACAAAAATTCAAAATTTTTTATTAAAAATATAGATAAATTATGCTACAAACTTAAAAAGTTTATATATATTACAAGATTAAAATGTTGATATTTGTAATGTTATTATAGGCTTATATATTTCTTGATCTGTAAACATGGGCAAAGCCACGTTGGTGGTTGTGGGTGCTCGTGCACCCATGAAGTTTTCATAATTATCATGTTTTGTATAGCAATTGTATCTAAATTGGCTAAGTTGGAAGCGTATGCACCCTTTAATTCTTCTGGTCTAGAGTTTGAGGCACCCTTGTCACAAGGATGTTTTGTATATATGTACATATTTCATATTTTATCTATTTTGTGCACCCATTAAATTTTCTCTCTGGCTTCGCCCCTATCTGTAAGTATATACAAATATATGTAGATTTTTTTCCACATAATGTTGCTATGCACAACTTGACGTGGAATGTATTTGGTTCGTATTAGTATATACGTTCGTTTAAAATTCTTTCTAACGAATGTCATTGTACACCTTCAAAATTTTGATATAACTATAAGAAGATTAACGCCTCCATAAGTGCTGATTTATTTGATTAAATTCTTATACATAATAAGATTCTTTGTAATGTCTTAATTGGAAATTCTTCGTAGTACTTATGCATGTCTATGTAATGCCTCGATTAGAGATATTAAATACCTAATATTTGCCGGATGTCTATGCATTACAAAAAAGTTACTAATATATATCATAATTAGTGCATAACATTTGCTTAACGTAATCAAATATCATCATAAATTCGTACTTATCATGTGAATATAAGAATATTGTAATACACATTAGGGTAGTGAGTATTAGTGTTTAGAGAAACTTGATTATCTAATATATATTACGTATAAATTTTTGAAAACTAATATATATTAACAATTTTACCAAAAATATATAATATTTGACTTACATAACGACAATTATTTGATTCACTCATTAATTTTTCCTATAATTCTAATGTCTGAAAACCCTTTCATGAAGGACTATATATAACTTTTCCTCTTTTCGAATATATAGAGCACTTCCAAACTTTTTGAAAGCTCTCTTAGACAAACCATAAAAACTCCCTTTTTGAATGGTAATTAGTTAGTTTTTTTTGTCTGATTAATAATGTTATTATAAACTATGAAAAATATTACAAAGAAAATATTATATCCGACAATTCTAACTATTTTATGAACATTCACGTTTGACTGCATTATCCTAAACTGTCCAATGAGATCAATTCCTTTTGGTAAATAGTTAGTTTAGTAAAAACAAAACAAAAGATTACTGTTCCTTTTTCAGTTACCATATTATTTTTGTACTTTATTACACTTAAAATATAGGGAAATATGCCATTACAGTTGGTGATTTTCAGGTAAATAAAACGTTGTCTACCTATTTATGTTGTGTATTTTTTTTTGGTAAAAAACAAACACACATTCCTTTACTGCAGTTTCTACAAGCTGCAAATCTTTTGTAAATTACACACATTATTTATAACATATAATATAACAAAAATTATAATAATACTTTTGTCCTGTACAAAGCGCATGGCTTAACCTAGTTTTAGAAATTATTTGAGATGTCCATGAAGCGCTGCACCGATCCACTTTATTGGTGCTAGATAGTACTCAATCTTTAATTCAATATATGCCTTCAACTTATGAAAAATACTAAAAATATAAACAAAATAATACATGGGGTATCGTTAGATGTTGTGTTGAATATGACAGATTTAAACTAAAAACACTTGTTAGCAATTCAAAATCATAATCATTTATAGCTAAGTGTTTCTTCAACAGACAGACCATAACCCATCATTTTGTTTTCATAGAGTAGAATAATATCAACATTCCCTATGGTATCCAAGGTAATGGTGGTGTATACGTAGGAGCATCTGAAAACAAGGGAGTAACCGCATAGAACATACCATTCTTGTCAAACATGTTTTTTCTCCTCATAAGGCAACTAGAGCGGCAATGATACTTGTGTTTCCCGTTAGTGTCAGCTATGTATAGTTTGGGTTCATACGAACATAATGAAACCCATCATCAGGGTCGACCCAAAGATGAAACCACCCAAACTACTGATTAGGAATTCAAATTTAAAAGGTATATTTCTGATGTTTTATTAGTATTTATAGATATGAAGAGATTTTTAGATAAATATTATTTATTGAGTATTATTAACCAGTGAATATAAATTCTCTACTCGCTAAGACTAGTGCAACTAATGCTTCATTAATTTGTTTTGTTGTTTGTGTAATACATTTATTAATTAAAGTTATATATATAACACTAATATTTTTATGAATATCATTCTATTATTATCAAATAAATATAAACTATGTTTATATATAAATTTTAATAAAATCATAGAAAAATATAAGTAAAAATTAATAAAAATATAAGTAAAAATTATATATTTTTTATATTTTTTAAAATGTGAAATTTTGTGTTAACAATTGATTTTTAGTAAATTATGATTGATTAGGTTCAAAATAATGGTGATAATATTAACGTACAATAACTTTGCAAAATTATTTTTAGTAATTATTTATGCAATTAAATTAGTTTAAAATAATAATGTGATATTTTTATTATATATATATATATGATTATTAAGAAAAATATAAAAATATATCGTTAAAATTTGCTTAGAGTATCTAAGTGTGTTAGACCGGCACTGTCCAGCGACCATTGCTCCTTCAATCACAGTTGGGATTTCCTTTGAGATTTCTCTCCATTTCTATCTTCCTGTGCAACTCTCTTTGCGGTTCTTTGGAATTGAGACTCTTATGTGGTGTAGTAGTTTTTTTAACATGGTCAAAAATAGGAATTCTCTAATTACGGTTCGGGTAGTTATACTAAAAATATCATATTAACCGATTCTGTTTGGTTATTCTTAATTTAAACTAAAAATAATTTTGAAAACAATAATCAAAAATAATCATATTTGATTTGGATTAGATTATGATGTATAGCAACTTTAAAATATTCAATTAATTATATAATGACTCATAAAATATATAACAATAATTATAAAAAACAAAAAAAAACAAATATCAGGTATAAATATATAAAATTTAACACCCACATAGATATACGGATCAATCTCTAGCGTTGCTTAGTTTTAGTTTTGAAGTAGAAGAAAAATGTTTTACCTGAAGCACCAACTGCAGATGATCTTAGTGCGGACGCTAACTACTTGCTGATCTTGTGCCCAGTTCGTTTTCAATTACAAATCTTTTATAGGCTTAATTTTTTTTTTTGTATTTAAGTTATTCAACCTATTTAATCAATACTAGATTTCGACCCGCTCGGTTGAGCAGGTGTCAATTTTATTTTTTTAGTTTTTTTGGTTTGTGCTAAAAATGTATTTATAATATTTTTTGTATTATGAATGAGACTTTATATTTTTGTGTTTGAACCATCTGATGTATACCGATATTTGGTACCAAAAAAAAAATCAAAATTTATATAATTAGACATTTGTATTAGATACAAAACCCTAGCAGCTTACAAATATCTCAACCACATTTGCAAGGTAGATCACGTCGAAATAAATTCAAAGAATGTTTATTGATTGTACTTCATGGTTAAAAGCCCATAATATAGGAAATGCTAAGATTTGGTTGGTGTTAGATCGAATTTTGTGGTATCATATATTTGAATTTACTTTAAAACTTATTGGTTATGATTAGAAAAAGGAAACACTAAGATTTTGTGTGAATAATATTATTCCAAATGCTTTTGTTTATATTTGAACCAAAAAGTTAGGTAAGTGTACAATTTGATAGATTTTTTTGTGCGAAAATTTTGATTTCAATTAACATTTTGAATGTACTTATGTTTTCGAATTGACTTTTATAAAAGTATAAGAATTTGGTTGGTGATAAAATATAGGAAAATAGAAAGACATTATGCAAATTCGATACTTGTTATGAGCTGGTATTTTTCAAGACTGCGCAGTCATAAGTTTACATCGATATTTGTATTTTTTTGCCATTGATATTGTTCTGAGATTTTAATAACATTGAATGTTGGTGTCGATATTGCTGGAGAAGTGTTGTGGCGGTAAAGGAAATCATGTATATCCATTTAATTATTTGCAGTTAGTTGACATTATTTTAGGAAACCATTAGTCATGTGAAAAAGACAAACATTTTTTTTATAATTATGTTAATTAAAATTTTAGTTGCATTGGAATGTAAATAATATGAAAGTTTTTAGGGTATTTTATATTGGTAGTTCTATTTTAATAAAATAGATTACTATCATGTCAAATTTCCGCTTAAGGTAATAGGGAGGAAATCCAAAAAAAAAATCTGAATTCACTATATTTGGCCAGTTGCTACTTGTTTCATTCCAGTACCAATACACGTCTAGTCATGGCTGACCAACCAGGACTGGTTGAAATATTGTTTAAGATTCCTTAATGTTTAACGGTCAATAGATTAAAGTTTTAAACTTCTAAATTATTTAGAAAATTATTAAGATTTAGTTTAAAATATTCTGTAGGTTGTTTTTAGTGGTAGAATTTAGTGGTTTAAGAGATGGTTCATCCCATATATTGGGATGTTCTCGTTTCGTAGTAATGAAAAATACAATATTGGATTGATTCGATAGTATAGTACCTTTCTAAGTGTTTTTAGGTGATACTCGATCTTGATATTGTATGTGGAGTGAAAATCTTATGAGATTATAATCTAATTACCATGATTTGGTTAATGCAAAGTTGAACTTGAACTAAAGAAAAACTAATCTTGTTAATGAGAGAGTATATATCTTTCTTTTATATGCCTTTAGATTATTCTAAACTTCAATGTGGAAGGGCAAGAGAAACAGAAAGAAAACCTCTTATTGTGGTCGAGGTAGAGATAACATTACACTGTTAAATATGATATTATTATATAAGGAAGAGATGAAACCAATATAAGCTCGCCATACCCATCCTAAAGCTCTGCACCTGAGTTTTTCTTTTCCCATATATCCTATGATACTAACACAAGTATAAATAAAAGAATTGTACACAAAAGACAGACACTTCCCAAATATTTTAATAATAACATTACATGGAAGCATCAAAATCTAAGTAAATAATAGAGGTGTTGTCCTTTGTACGCATCACTCTAGCTTCATTCAGTAGACCATTTGCTATTTTCTCTGCACTATTTTCTGTCCCTCTCTCCTTCTCTCTCATCTGGCATTAATATTTTTTAAAACATACACATAAGTTTGAAGTTTTCAGACAGAGCAAAGCCACAATGCTTCATTTCGAAAGTTAAAAAAAATGTTTTACCTGAAGCACCAGCTGCACAGCTTTCTTCGGAGTCACCACATCCCATAACCCATCACTGCAGTATTGTTTCCCAGTATTCAGAAGTAGCAAAAATGAATAAGAAAACGTTGAAAAGCTTACAATGTTTAAGTGTTTTTTTACCTAGCCAATACAGCAAACGCGTCTTTACTAGACTGATCGATACGCAAAGGCTCACTTATATATGGCTCTGCGCTGAAACGGGCGTCTTGCTGCTTTGGAAATTTGTCTCCTAGCATCCTCGCAAGGTTTATACCTGAAGATGATAGATTATCAACTCAGATTTGGTCATTATGTTACAATAGAATCAGAATTAGAATTAGAATTAGAGGAGTGTTTATTTCACTGAGGTAATACCAAAGATCCTAGTCTCTTTATCTCTCAAAGATAGTCCTGCTTCTTGGATTCTTCTTCTCTCGGTCAAGCTAGTCACTCGATGATCTTCAGTCATTTGTGTATATCTCCCATCATGGCTGCCAGATTGAAACCAAATCAAATTCAGTTCTGAAGAAAAAAAATCTTAAGGCAAATATCATATGTTGAACGTACTTGATTACACATGCTGAATCCCCAAGATTAGCACATTGTGCGAATAAATGTTCTTCACTGTCTTTCCAAACCAAGAGAACTGTAGCTGTACAACCCTGCAGCGACAGACTAGTTCATTAAGTAAGAAGCAATGATGAGCCAAGTCATCAAGGAGACAAACATGCAATCAAATGAAAAGGACAAGCTTCAGAACCTCATATAAGTGATCATCCAAGCGAGCTTCTGTTTTCACAAGCACGTCCCTCAGGACATCCGAAGCATCTCTTTGTGATAACACTTTCTCTTTCCTATGAGCGTCTGATAAAATATTCGCCAGAACCTCAGGAATAATTCTGCAAAAAAGAAAAACGTTACATATTCAAACCAAAGATGGTCCAGTTGTTAATTACTGTAGCACGCTAACATATACTGACTAGACCATTTTGAAACAATGACTTACTTTACTGCGGATTGAGCAGCACCGGCTCCCCCATGTCCATCACAAACACAAAACAGCCCAAACTGAAACCATATACATTTGGAAATTTAGCAGAAGCAGCGAAGTCTTATCATTATTCATTACACAAAGATCACAGCTCCAGGTTAACCTTATTAGCCCCAGGAAGCGGCCACTTGTAATAACAAACATCTTCCATTGGAAGTTCCCTGCCTCCTCGACGTGCAGCCATGGGATCCGAGGCCACACCAACTCTGAACGGTGTCTGAAACTCATTCTGAGATGAGATACGCACCTTCGAATAATGAAAAGAAATTACATCAAAAATTAATTTAAAAAATAAAATGACCATTGACCAGTAACACCTTCAACCATTCAGATAGACTTACAGAGACCATAGTAGTACTTCCCAAAGTTATTATATCGTCATTTGCAAGCTCGACAGGGTGACCCCACTTCCTGCTGCCTAGATCAGGATGACTTACAGAACGAGAGTTCAAGAGAGTTCCATTTAAGCTACCCATGTCTACCAGCTCCCATTTCAATTTCTGAAAATCAAAACCAGGTCGGTGTTATGACACAATTAGATGTGACATTTCAGAAGTTAAGTAGCTCCTTACAGTAGAGTTCCATGTTATTTGAGCATGCTTCCCTGAAACTTCTGAGTCCTTCAATACCATATCAGAAGAAACCCTTCCAAGGTTCACTGGCAGCTTGGAGGTGCTTGTGGAGTGCACAGCATATTGAAGCCCAACGGAAGGACCGGAAATGACCTCAAGAGACAACCAGCTTCCTGCACTTTTAACACAAACTATGTTATATTTCTCGCACGAGTAATTGATATTGTACAACCCCTAGCAAATCAAAAGAAAGAAGAAATTACTTTGATCTTTAACAGCTCGTGGAGAAAGCTCGGAAAGTAAATCATGCTGCAGGTTTTGAGTTTGTGAGTCATATGTTTGCACCTCTTGGAAGCTAACTTTTTCAGGTGGATGCTTAAGCGTATCCCCCACCAAAGCATTGTCAGAAGGTTCAGAGATTATTTGTAGATCAAAGCTTTCACCTTTCATAAAAATTAAGGACCAATGGATAACGTCAAGAATGCATTAGAACTCATAATTTCCGTGATGATGCTGAAAGAGTTGTTACCTTGGGTGAGAAGGGGAGAAGAAGAAGGAAGCCTTTGTTGGAAGCAAGCTTCTTCTAAATCAAATTCCCTTGAGACCTCACTGCTGGTTTGGCCTTGGATTAGATTCTCATCATTAGATATAAGCGGTCTCTGCAAATCTCCCACCTGCAAAGAAGAACGTATCAGAAGAGCTAATAAAAGATTTGATATCTTAACCAATTAAAAAAAAAATCCAAAGGGGCATGATCCAAAGACAGAGATGTAACGCCAAGTCATTGATTGATTGGTGATCAAAGCGTTACAGAAACTCAAAAAAGGGTTGAAAGGATCGGGAGACAAGGGAGGTACCTTGAAGGTAGAGAAAGGGGAGGAACGGGAACGGGGAAGGAAGCGCCATGGCTTGCAGGCGAAAAGGAAGATGAGGAGAAGCAAAAGAAGCATGATTATCCCAATAATGCTCATGATCTCTAACATCGCCATCCTCTTCTCTCTCTCTCTGCAACCTTCCTTCCTTGCAACCTTCCTTCCTTCCAGATTGGTTCCCGACAACCTCTGGCTTTGAATTTTTCTTACCCCTTCTCTCTCTCTCTCTCTCTCTCTCTCTCTCTCTCTCTCTGTTTTTTTTTTTATTACCGTCTCCTTCTTCTGTTTTTTGTTTTTGTTTTAACACTGTCTGATTGAGAGTTGAGTCCATTATCCCTTGACGCGTTTCAATTTCGTTATTTAGTTTTTGAGATGGTAAATTGGGTTTTCTTGAACCGGAATTATGGTTTAATTTTGTAAAGTAGTACTTTCATTACATTTTTTTTTGTCAAGTACATTATCTTTAAGACTATTTTAAGATCAAATTTCTATTTTTTTCGGTAAAAAAATGAAGATCAATATCAGTTTTCTTTCTTTCTTTTTTTTTTAAAATGTGATCACGTGCTCTTACGAGTTATTTTTTAAAAAACTAACTGAAGTGTTCTCTCTGGGCCAAAATGATGGATTCTGGACCTATAGTCCAAATTGGCACGGACTAGCAATTCGGCCTATACACCACTTGATTCTAGATTTCGTTTTTTTTTTTGTTACAGTGTGGCTTACATTGTCGAGTACATGATGAAATTATAGACTAAGTAGTCCAGCTCTCTCATAAAATCCAAAACTGATTGCTAAGTACCACGGTATCGAGACTTGATAGAGCTGCATTTTGATTTACTTTTGTTTATCCTTACATATGCTGATCTCTTCGTGGCTTTAACAACTCTTTGGTATCTAACGTCACTCTTAACAGATTCTTTTTCTTTCTCGAGTGTTTTCCCATTTCTAGATGAAAGTGACTCGTTCGATAACATTTGAATGCTACAAGTTTCTTTGATTTCTGCCTCAAGTGCTTCACTAGTTTAATTTGGCGCAACAAGCACGAGCGTTCTGGTGTGACATGTGAATTCATCTTTGATTAATCAACATGTGTTACCACGGATGTGGCAGCCTAGTTGGTTTAAGCGTATGTGTTAGTGTTGTTGTGCTCCTCTTGGGTTCAATCCACCATGGGAGGAGTGCTTTATGCCATTAATGGTATTAGCAAAGGTTGACTCCGAGTCCAAGGGAGATTAAGGTCAAAGGCCCGAACTTCCTTGGAAATTCAAAAAAAAAAAAACTTGTGTTTTTAATTGAAAAAACATGGTTCCAATAGTACATCAGTGTAATGTAAGTTTACCTGAGTGTTATATCTTGTTCGTATTGATCCGTACGTAAGTCGTTATAGGCGCTTAGATCACACATAAATCTTTTTTTTACAACATTGACATCTCTAAGCTGAAAAAATTTTAGCTTGTGTGAATGATATGCGAATAAGACATTGGTTAAGGATGAGATTGATCCTTCTCGTGTGGATCTCATGCTTCCATATAAAAAGCCAATGAGAAAGTTCTAATATACATAAGCTTTTATATTTCTTTCCCTACGCAACTACGCATTACTTAGATAAGCTCCACATCTCATTCTAATGATATGAACTTTCTTTCTGGGTCAAATTTTTTAAAGTTTGAGAATGGCACATAAAGGTTTCCACTAATATGGTCAAAAAGATGGTGGATGGTTGGCTTTTCTTTGTTCTGCAATTTATATTGAACCACGACATGTAACACTCTTGTTTTACTCTATAATCATATTAACGTACATGGAAACGTAAGGCTTAAGTTTATGTCTCAACTTGAGCTTAAGTGGTATGACGTATTTCTAATTTCTCTATACTTTTAGATCCTCCAATAGAAACATGAAACCAATAGCAAACACTGGGGGATTATGATATATGATTCGAAGTTTCACACTGTTTTTTCACTCTTCTTTTAGCTTTCTTGCGTCATGGGCATGAACAAAGAGAGTGATAGGAAGTCAAAATATATTTTGATTTAAATTTGATGCTTTCATTTGCTTCTGTCACTACTCACTTAATTATTGTAATCTTAATTACTTACATATAGAAAAGCAGCTTTTGCATAAGGACATTCTCAAAAGCTTTCTCCCTTCGAGAGGCCAAAGGTTGCATGTATTACTTTCTTCGCTTCTATGGGGGTGGTTCGAATTTAAGGACCACCTACGCTGTTCAAGATATTCAAATTTTGTATGGAGATTACATCTGCAGGTCAGCTCCTTTTCCCAATATTATTAGTTAAACTATGTCATAACTTTCTTACTCTCTTGCTTACGTTAGGGAATCCTAATTATTATTTCATTCTTTATTCATTCTAAGCATGTCAACTAGTTGCCTAATTATATCATTCTTAATTGATTCCTTTAGCAGAGGGATAGGCACTAGAAAAATGACATTACTTATGGATAACACTATAACTTTATTAGCAAAGCATAAATTGTGAAGTTGCGGATTTCTGAGTTTTATTGTGTAAACTGAGATCTATTGCCAAAACAAAACACAAGTTCTTATATAAGACTTCTATGTTTACTATAGTTTCTGTTATATATTTCGTTTGTCCTTTTTTCATGGTAATGCAAATGGAAACAATTCTTGTTTTAAATCTTTTAGTGGACTAAGTAACGCGTGATGATACATTGAGAATATATAGTAAAGATGTTCCTTGTAGTAAAAGCTGAGTACTAATATTGGAAACAGTCTCATAAGAGAAGGAATGGTGCTTCTTTGTTTCATTGTATAATATAATCGAAGGTATCTTCGTACCAAATCCTTTTAGTGATCATAGAATCTCTTATAAACATAAACGAAGATATATTTGCTTTGTTCATGTCTGCAATAAACCTCGAAAAGACGGAGTGGGTGATTAAAGTTTATCATAGTACTGTACAGCACACAAGCTAGCATTATGCTCACAGTTCATCGATGGTAGTAGCTACATATTTCTTTATTATAACAGAAGTACAAAACTGAGATGGCTTTTTTTCTATTACAGGAAGCCCAGGAAGATCTCACAGATCTCTCCTACCCTCTTTGGAATAGGAACAGCTCACGCATTCTAGCTTTCCTTCGTGTAAGAGCTATATGGTAAAAGTTAGAGAGAACTAGGTTACATTTGTTTGTATAATAATAAACCCACATGCCTTAGAGTTGAGGAAAAGTCAGTGACCCTAGGACATTTGTTTACTATGAAAAAGATAAAAGTGTCTTTTGTTGTTTAGAAATGGGATTAAGTACGTAAGCATCTGATTTTAACAGAGAGACAGAAGAAAGAAAGGTGTTTAGTGGGGAATCACTTGATGTTGCTGACGACTTAAATGAGTCTTAAACTCTGTCTTCACAACCTGTTCCGTACAATGTAACATGGCTTAAGCCTAGTTATATCTTGTAATTTAATCTTAAATTTTTAGATTCTTTAGAAAAATCAGCTTAACGTTGGCTAGCCAAAGATTCAAAAGGGCAAAGATTGATGTTAACTTAACCCACCATTGACTTAGAATTAGAGAGTAAAAATAAGTTATACCTAGTATTCTTATGATTTCATTTAACTAAAATCCTATAACATATAATAATATCCTAATAGATTTTTTTTTCATTTAAAATGAAGAGCTATTTTTTTATGTTTCATTGTTTTGGTCGTAATAAGTGGGCAGAAAATTAGGTTTTTGATTTTTTTTCCTTGCATGCAAATATACAGTGTAATTCATGTTAGTCAATACTTTGGCAAACTTTATTTGTTTTTTCTTCCTGTATTTTGTTTCATGTCGTAGTTTCTTGATACAGTGACAACTTCAATTTTATGACCGATATTTCCTTTTTAAAACTTTGCATGGAGATAACACTTGTATGTTTATAATTCCTTGATAAGTTCCAATAATCATGTCTTGGTTAATGGGATTTAGATTTCAAAATCAGTGGGATGTTGTTATCATGTTGTTGAAATGGGTCAAAGAGTAACCCGACATAGGTTTTGACTCTTCTTCTCCCTGTATGCCACACACACGACTCTTTGCTTTAATTTAGTATGAAAAAGGAGACTATTAGAGAGCAAAACAAACAATCATTTTTCTAAATTTTGTAGCACTATTTGGGGAAACCAAATTTGGGAACTTTCATAGCTTTTTTTGGATTGTTTTATTTTTGTGGAAGGTTAATAAAAGAAAGAGCAAAAACTGTCTGTAACTTTTGACATGTTACTCCCATTACGTGTCTCTCTTTAAATGGCCGACTGGCTTTTCGTATGCGTTTGTTTGATTTGGCCTCTTTCATTTAGATGGTAAATTTTTAATTCTCCGTTTCAAAATATACTATTTTCTATTTTAAAATATAAAATATTTTTATACTAGAAAAAATTTAATTTAATGAAATCATGTTAGTTATTTTATTTTATAATTGGCTATATTATTTTTACCGTGAAATCTGTTTTTTTATTAAGCATATTCACTAATTTTCTTTTCCACAATGAAATTTCTTATTTACTTCTCACTATTTTCTTTTTTATTGTTTTTTTTTCTAGTGAGTAGTCTCTTTCGGTTCCAGATCACATGCAGGTCGGAATTCCCTTAGCTGCTGAATAATTCAGTTTTATTTTACCCAAATTAGTCAAAAACGATGTTTAACAAAGTTTCCCCTCATATACTATGCTTTTCCAAATTGCTCCTTTTGCTATCAATTCAAGTCAGAATTTCTGTAAAAGGATAACATGTAGAATTTGCACCCAAAAAGAGAAAGATAGCATATAATTTTTTCAATTTTAACCATGTGCACTATACAATGACTTTATTTCCTTCACCTTTTTAACACATATTCTTATCTGCATTGTAATATATAAATTAAATTTGCATTATACAAGTGGTGGTATGGAAAAGCTAGTTACCCACCTCTCTAGTCTCTGCACATTGCACAGTCACTCTCTTTCTCTCTTTTTTTCTTTCTTTATTAATTATTCACTTTTGGGACACTACAAATTGGCATCCTCTCCCTCTCATTATCCTTCATTCCTATTTCCAAACACCTCTCTACTTCTTTGTTTCACATCTCACAAATAACCTCTTTGATTTCTTCTATATATCCTCTTCAAGAAAATGGGAACTGTTGTGTATCAACAAGGATTTCAGTCATCTCAGTTTGATGAGCCTAGGGCTTTAAGGCTTAGGCTATCTTCACCAAACCCTCACTTCTCTCAACCCTTTGGTTTAGCTCTCAAGTCTCATTTACATGACTCCTTTAATGCAGAGGACACTCGAAACTTTAAAGATGACAAACCAGCTGCTTCCTCGGTTCCTGAATCGAGTGGCTGGAGCTTTCTCCAGTCTCTATCCTCAGGCTCCTCGAGGAACACTGAGAAAGAGAAGACTTATGTTCAACGTCCATCTTCTTGTAGAACTCTAAGCGACGAGAGCTTAGCATTGTGCACTGAAAATCTCGGAAGCGAAACAGGCTCTGATGTTACTGACGTCGAAGATCTGTTCTTGCTTTCATTAGCTGACGTGAAGACCAAGAAACTCGAGGAAACAACAACTGAGACAAGAACGTTGAAGAGTAGGAAAGAGAATGTGAGACCTAGTGATCTCCCACCTCCATTGACAAGTATGAGAGGTTCTCAATGCATTCAAATGAGACCACGCCGTGAAGATGGAAGATTGGTGATGACTGCCACAAAGGAACCACCTCGTAACATGTGCTTTCAAGCTGACCGAAGCAACGGTCGTCTCCGACTTTCTATTTTGAAAGACTCAGATGAAAGTGTGAAGGACGAAGAAGAGATGCTTGAGCCTGAAGAAACCGAGGAGGAGGAAGAAGAAAAAGACTTATTAGATAATGATGAAGTGATGGAGACTGTTGAAAGATCAAGAAGATGTGTTGAAGGCGATCGGGAAAACAGGGGATTGCTAAATTGGGAATCTTTCTACGTTGCTACTTCCTAAAATAAGAAACTTCTAATTTGCTCTGTATTTACAGTTCACAATTATTGTTTTTTATGTGTTTTGTTTTATTTTTTAATAGAAACATCGTCGTTTCATCACTCGGGAAAGTAGATTAAACTTCAATTTGAAAATAAAAACTATTATATAAGAGGAGGAAGAAATAGGCAGAGGGAATATGCTCGTGGTCTGGTCGGCAGTTAATCTAGTTTGGTAAGAAAGATTCCCCCCAGAGTGGTCTGAAATTAGTGGCATGCAAGTTGCGACCTCATGACCTTCGTTAGGACGACTGTACCAAGAAGCTTCGTTTCTTTTATCATGTCAAATCGCCAATTGCTATTTACTAGGGCTGGGCATGTTATCCGTTATATTTGATTCGATTCGTTATTCGTTTTTCGATCCGAAAATTCCGGATATCCGTAAACTTTCGAATCAAATCAAATACTAAAATTCAATATCCATTAGAATCGAAGCAAATCACAAATATTAAAATTTTGGGAAGCGGATATCCGATCCGATCCGGAAATATATAATTATATGTATATATTGATTATATTTAAAATTTTAAATGTATAAAATTATATAATTACTATTCTAGCACATGATTTTGAACAATTCTATTCACATTATTACTTATATAAAAGTATTACATAAAAGAGAGAAAAGATTTATGATAATTATAATTTTTTCTTAAATTTTGTGTTATTATAATTGTAAATTAAACTTAAAAAATTACAAAATATGTAAATTCACTAGTTCTTTTAATTTTTATTTTATATATCATGTAAAAAAATATTTTTCCCAAGCAAATTTGTATCAAAATCTTAAGTTTATTTGTATTAATCAAAATGTACGAGATATTCGTAAATATCCGTAAATATCTATTTATTTTCCGGATATCCGTTTTTCCGGATATCCGTATTTTTTCGAAGCAAAGCAAATACCAAAATTAGATATAACATTCGAAGCAAATCACAAATATTTTAAAAAACCCGAATATCCGATCCGTGCTCACCCCTACTATTTACCAATATATTAAAATAAATAATTAGTGGGCTGAGTTACAAATATATTTAAAATATACTGCGATTGGAACGTCAAAATGCAGATTAATTACTTCCAATTTTTTTTTTGAATGATTTTTTTTAATCAATCAAAACCTTTTTACATCGAATACTTATGTTCTTTTGATAATCAAATAACGACTTCTAAATAATAATTAAAAAATCTGTTTCTTCATGTGTTTGACTCTTGCCTGGTTCCGAGTTTTCAAGTGAATAAGCGTACAGTTTATTCGTGTTTAACAATTAACAAGCGTACAGTTTGATCATATATCTATACATATATATATATACATATTTGACATCAGTATGCTCTCACTCTAAAGATGATCAGTTCAGTTGTACTATAATGTATTAATTAAATATTAACACTGTAATAAAAAGGAATAAACTAGCTAGCTTCTATCTGATTTCTAGCCCTTTGTCAAAAAAATAAAACTAGATATAGCTAGGGTTGTCCGTACAATAACGACGTCGTCACAACCCCGTAGATATCCGCCAGAAGGCTTTAGTGTACGGACGACGGATGTAGGGGCGTTAAGTTTTTTTTTTTGTCAAAAAACTAATTACACACTTTTAAAAATAACGATTACACTTTCTTAAGTGCATGCATTTCAAGTGTCGCAACCCTGGTAACATTTCTGAAGTCTTTTTTTTTTATTATATAAGTTGTGTCACTGGATCGGATAGATTATTGAACAAATTACACATGTTTAGTTGAAAACATTACAACTAATTACACACTTTTTTCAAGTGCATGCATTTCAAGTTTTGCAACTCCGATAAAATATCTATTTATATTCTTTTAACAAGGAAAAAATATATCAAGCAGCTGATGACCTGATACTTCAACAAAAAACAAATATGAAGTTAGAAAACATTATCTCTAGGATAAAACTTAGATATAAATATATTTTGATATATATACAAATGTTTGAACTGTAAGAACTAGGCCGCCAAAGTTATAATTAAAATAGTTTCTAAAATTTGAGAAACTATATGTTCTTAGTTCCACAAAAGTATTAATTTTCATTTCGTTTTAATTTTGGCAACATAGCAAGAAGATTATAACCATGATAATATACTAAGTTTCATTTTAAAAGCATATCAACTCTATTTAAGAAATCATTTTAGAATCATTAATTAGGTTTAGTGACGTAATTAACCCGAATAATGATTAAATCAATATTTTCTTATATTAAGTCTCCAAATTATTAAACGTCAATTATAGTGCAAGTGCCCCCACTCGTTTTCTCTTTATATGGAATCAAAAGAAGAATAAAAAATGAAGTGAGCGACACGTGAAACTCCAACGGACTGCGCTTTGAAGCTCTTTTTTGAAAAAAAGATTGTGCAAGGTTTTGTCTTTTGGTTGTTGTGTTATATTAATTTATATTTACTGTGAGTGGTGATTGATATATAAGAGATCCTTTTCACGTTGCTTTTTTTGCAAAGTAGTCTGCATGGTATCCGCGTCTATCCATTTGGGTATTATTGCATTTTTTAACTATGATATTATTGCATGTTGAACTAATTTGCCACAGCACTCCAAAAAGCAATATTTATATTTCAAGAATATTTGTTTAACTACTAAATACTACTTATTTTGGGTCAAAACTACTAAATACTTGGATCACATCTTTAAACATAACTAGAGCATTTCCATTGGATGATTATAAGGAAGGTTCACACGTTTTTCGAAATAAAAAGTGGTGAACTTGAGTCGCGTGAGCTCACCATGGTGAACCTGGATTGTCACTGCAGATTCGCCACGTAGTGAGTCAGGATTCGCTGATTTTTTTTTTCTTTTTGAAAAAATCAAATGAAAAAATAATAATTAAAAAGTGACCTAGAATTTCATGTTCAACCAAATTGCTGATGGACATGCTCCTAAAGCAACCTCGTAAAACCACAGAACTAACTATCCATTGCTTCTTTAGTCAAAAAAAAAAAAAATACCCATTTCTAATTTGGATTCGATCATTTGAATCCTGGATTCTGGTCTTGTTTGTAATCTTGAATGAATGACCGATTAAACCAGCAATATTTTCTAATTGTGAAACCCATTAATTTGTTATATATATATATATATATATATATATATATATATAAATTCATTAGTCCCCACCAACTTGATAGCGTCTACCTGATTAGTGACGCAATGTCTTTTTGGTGTGGTTCAATTAGGTTAAACTTTTATATCCAATTCTTAAAATGTGGAGGGAGCATTTTGGTTCAAAAGTGGCAAATGGGCAGGTTTCTTTGTGGCTAAGTTGAGCAAAGGATTGGTGAGTGATTTTGGACGTCTAAAATACCATGACGTCTTTCGTTTCTATCCTCACAACGGCGTACACCTCAATGAAGTTACACTGTTACCCTTCTTTTCATATATGCGTATTTTAATCTTTTTCCAACCAGAAAGAAAACATTTTTAAAAATAAAAACTATATTGTTCTTTGAATGTGGGCTACCTTTAGATTCTTTATTTGTCGATTTCTTTGACCGAATAAAAACCAATTAAGTCGCTAATTTTATTGCAACATAAAAATTAAATTATGTCGACAGATTATATGATTATAAGAGCATTATATATAAGCTACCTTATAAGAAACGATGTAATTAACCCATGTACTTCGTATCTTATACAAAGTACACTTATAAGTTATATCTACTGAAAAATTGCATCTTATGTAAAAACAAAAGGGAAAAAGAGAGATTTTCTACAAGGATAAAAATTACAGTGTTCTTTGACCAAAAAAAAAAAAAAAACATTACAGTGTTCAAATTTGGATACGTTAATTTGGCGAGTGTACTAGATGAATCCGTGAATCGTGAGTAGTGGCAACATAGCGACAAAACCATCTCCTCGTTGGTAGTCTATTGGTGGATTTACTCCTGCTAAAAATATTACATATGACATTATTTCTAACCTCTATATCTATTATTTTGTGTCGATTAATAGCATTTGTTTATCGATATGTGTATAGTTCTGATAATTAGTATTTTAGGAAATGGAACACTTAATTAATTGAAGGTATACTCCAAGAATTTGGCCAAAAAAGAGTAGAACATGTTTATTGGTGAGTTCTTGACACGGGGTTCTTAACGGAAAATAAGAATCCGTCTCTTAGTTTTTAATTAAAAAAATTAAGAACCAGTTTTTAAATATCTTCCTAATAAATATGCTCTAAGAGTATCTCTAATCAAGACTGTCTCTAATGGATCTCTATCTTTGTTTTTATAATATAGTTTTTAGAGAGAAAATATATCCAACTTTTTTTTTCTACAATATATCCCACTTATATTTTTTTATAATAGCATTTTTCTATTTTTATTTCATATTGGAGATCTCTATAATATTATTTGAGAAGTCACTTTCTTATGTGTCGCGCTCACGTTAAGTCTCACGTTGGTTGATTACTATGATACCCCCAATGAATTAAAAAAGACATTTAAATATTATTATTTCCTTTTAAAATGTTTCCAAATAACAATATAAAAAGGAAAAATTAATAAATTTTACAAAACTATTTAAAAACGAAAATATAAGTATATCCTTTTAATTTTTTTCCAAATAACAATATAAACTTAGAAGGAAACATTTATAAAGTTTACAAAACTATTTAAAAACGAAAATATAAGTATGTATAAATATGGTTTTATAAAAAAAAAAATCACAAAATAGTAATATTTAATTTAAATAAAATTTAAATAACATAAAATATACTTTTGAAATAATAAAATATTTTATATCTATATCTTCTTAGATGAAAAACAATATTTGTATATAATGTGATTCCATAAAAAAAGTTCACACAACTAATCTTGATATGAGAAAAAGAAATATTTTTTTTTGTATATATCTATCTATTTTATTATATGATTACATAAAATAATTAAGTAACATAAACTGATATATGTCTAATTGAAATTTTTTTTTTATAATTAGTATTCTTGAAATATATATTTCTTTTTATTTTTAGAATATTTATTTGACTATAATATCTTACAATTACCGCAAAAAATATATATTCTATTTTTCTTATATAACATAATTTCTCAACAACAATA